ATAATTTTTGGAAAATCTTATTGAATTAGTCATTATTATCGATACAGAGGCGGAATCTATATTTTTTTGAATTTTTGTCTGTCTGTGACCGCATCACGAGAAAACCACTGGACAAATTTTGATGAAATTGGTTATGATGATAGCTGGTTATCCGGGATAACGTATATGATACTTTTTACTGCGGGAAAATATCTCATCTCTGAGAAATGTATACTAAACGTTAAAACGTAACTAGGGCCGATCCTGAGCGGAGCGAGGGTGAGTCGCTAATAGTACTATATGTAGGTAGTCCCTATAAGCATATAAGCTATATGTAGCATCATAATAAATTAGTTATTGTAATAATCTGATCTGAAAATGAGATTTATGTTAATAATAAAAATATATTAATATTTGTATATGGTTCTACTATTATTATTTATTGAATTAAAATTTATAGATTCATATGTAGATTTAATTTAACAGAAAAAAAGCACACGAAATCATTATTTTTTCCGTATAAATGTTCTACAACTGTATGTATAAAGAACTGACTCATCGGAACTTAGGTCGTTACCACTGGCTATTGTTTTAGACTTTTTGCAGAATTAAAACGTTTTGTTATAATCTGAATAAGGAATGATCAAGCCGGATCTTCAATAAAACACTATTCATATTTGATATTAATATACAATTACTTATTTATTAGCGCATACAAATAAACTCGTACAAACAAAGTTATATATATGTAGGTCCTAAGTTAGTTTAGAAAAAACACGAGCCCAAGACATTTTACATTAATTATTCATCTAGTTTTTACGATATCAATCAAATAAGAAAAAATGCTAATTAATAAAATTATTTATTATTTAATTAATAGTTTTTTTATATCCTTAGATAGATTTACGCAGTTTTTAATTAATTAACAAAACAGTCTTAAGATCGAGAAAAGAGTCTTTAGCTAATAAATATAGTTATTTTTAACACCATGTATTTTTCAATAGCAGTCCTAAATATTTCTATTGTGAGATATATATTTTTATTATTTTTCAAAGAGCTTTAATTAGCTTTACTTGTAACGTGAGTTGAAATTAACCGATTTCTTCCTGTGGCATAGATTTGAAACTTTAAAATGATGAAAATACAATAATTTGATACTATCGAGTTGATCTGATAAATAACGATAGTGGAAATAGGAGGTGGAAAGCAATACAATTAAATAGCTATGTAATAATGAAACCTTTGAATTCAAACTCAATTGGGCACAAATTCAGAATTGGGGACTTGGCCCCTAGTGGAGTGGGTGGTATTGCTGGATAAGGGACGTGATAGGGACTCGAAATGTTAAATAAATTTTTTAATACAACAAAAGATTCAAAAGTTATTGAGACTTAAAGTTACAACATTTCCATACATTTTCATATATTTCTTTACCACCATTCGGAGTGGGTGGTATTTTTAGATAGGGGAGGTGACAGAGAGTCAAAATATATTAAAAATATTTGGAGGAAACGTACGACTAAAAAGTTATTGAGACTTAAAGTTATAACATATCTAACACATTTCCATACATTTCTTTACCTAAATAAGTGATTACCACAGATAAACATACCTTTAACGAATAGTACGCATCCTTTTTTATGTACATTACACATTTTCACAACAATTAATGCTTTATTGTATTTAATATTTTAATAATTTCACAACACAAACAAAATGATCTTACATTTTGACAAAAGCAAAACTGACACTTTGTTTTATATTACCGCTTAAATGACAACAGATTATATTTGATTATTTTTGCTTTTTCTGTTGGTAAAATATTACTATTAATAAATAAATAAATAAAAAGAAAAATATTATTTTCACTTTATAAATACATTTATGACTTTTTATTTGATTTATGTAAAATATATTGTTTTACAATTGTACATTTAGTAAAAAAAATCATTTTTTTATCTGTGAATATTTTTAATTATTTATTTATTATTCGTCATATCTGGGTTAGGTTAGGTTAGAACATTTAAGATTATATATTTATTATTCGTCATATCTGGGTTAGGTTAGGTTAGAACATTTAAGATTATTTATTTATTATTCCTCATATCTGGGTTAGGTTAGGTTAGAACATTTAAGATTATTTATTTATTATTCCTCATATCTGGGTTAGGTTAGGTTAGAACATTTAAGATTATTTATTTATTATTCCTCATATCTGGGTTAGGTTAGGTTAGAACATTTAAGATTATTTATTAATTATTCGTCATATCTTGGTTAGGTTAGGTTAGAACAGTTGCCACAACGCACGAGCCGAGCGAGCGAAGCGAGCGTGCCGCGGTAGCGGCCGGCGAGTGCCATAAATGACTAGAAAACTAGAAAATTCGAATTTCACGCAAAGTACAAATAAAGACAATCATCTGGAGATCATTTTGACAATTGAAAGTGACGTTTTGACTCCAAGTGTCTAAATGGTAGTAATGTCAAAATAATGTATGGAAATGTTATAACTTTAAGTCTCAATAACTTTTGACTCTTTTGTTGTATTAAAAAATTTATTTAACATTTCGACTCTCTATCACGTCCCTTATCCAGAAATACTACCCACTCCGCTAGGGGCCAAGTCCCCAATTCTAAATCGCCGCCCTCAATTGATTTGATTTGGACGAGTTCCACACATTTTATAGTTAGAAAAAAGCATGTATTTTCTTTTCATTTTTAATACTGTAATTATTAATAAAATAAATAAATTATTATTTACTTGAGTAATGAAATATTCATTATGGTCCATCGATCACTAAATAGAACGTTCTTTTTGATCGATGTTATTGTCCTTACTTCAACCATTTGGAAGTTTTTGCTTTGATTGCTTAAATCGTGTCAGATTAATTAGCCATAATTCAGTAATTAGAGATAATTCTAATTATTCTACGCTTTTTATTATATAAATTTTACTTTATTGGAGGTATTAAAGGTGAAAAGGATAATTTAAAATCAATATTTTTTTTATTACAACTTTCAATTAAACAAATGGATTTAATTATATATATTTTGGTATATAAAGAATGCTTACAAATTGGATTTGAATAAGTTTGTAAAGAATCATCTTTAATTATCAAATAATAAATTTATCAAAATTCTTCCTTTAACTTCTACCATTTCAAGTACCCAATAGATGCCTCCAAAACCACCTACACAAATATGTATGAGAATGTGTTCCGTCGACTTACTTGATAATATACCGGCCAACGGGACTCCAGCGCACTACACTGCACACTATACACACATATCACATAAAAGTTCTGAAATAGTTATCACAAAAGCACCTGTTTACTTAATAAAATATATTTTAAATTTAAAAGTTCCAAATACCTTCGTTCGTTTAAAATCGATCGTTTTGCAGAGTCGGTAACTATATTTATTATTTTCTATACAGACGGACTACAGCGGCGACCGCGCTGCTACTGAACTGTCAGTGACACTGCGCAACAGCCTTCTCTTTTCAACAGCATTTTAAGTTATATGAGTGAAAGAGAAAGCTACTCTTTGGAATGCTCGAATATAGCTTTGTTTCATTTACCTGTATAGATTTTTATCACGAGGAAAAGAGACACCCAAAGAAGAGCCTCCCGGTACACATGTATAGCCTGAACGATATGGAGAAATGAGGCTTCTAATGTTAAGGGGAAATATTTCAAAATGGCAAAAATGAAAACATTTTAATATTGTATATAGAACGAAGGTCAATATTTTTAATGAAGCAGTATCTAAGGGTAGGTAAATTACTAAAGATAATTTAAATGTAATATCTATACATATAATAACACTGTAGAGATCAAATGTCTGTACATAGAAAAAAATGCTAAAAACCGAGTCAGGGAGATGTAAGAAGAGAAATAGAACAAATAAATTTTTTTTCTATCTTCTTTTTTTCTCTGACTGTTCGTCTGTTTGTACGGGCTAACTAAACTGTTGGACCGATTTAAATAAAATTTTGCATGGCGATACCTTATATCCCCGGTCAACATATTAGATAAGTACTTACTTTTCATCCCGGAAAATTAAAGAGTTCCCGTGGGATAGTGAAAAAAACTATAGTAACATAAACAGTCTAAGTACACAACAAGTTATGCACCTAATTTAGTATTTGGCATGCTGATACCTCATATTGCCGACCAAACAACAGGTTACTTTTCATCCTGGAAAAATGGATGGTTGTCGTGGGATAGATGTGTTTGTGCTTTTCTATTTAGCTAGTTATAGAATAATTGAGCATGAAAACAGAATTCTGGTAAGTCTAGCGTACGTATAGAGATATCGCAGCTCATTAGAATGATTATGACGACGCATTTGGCTTAGTTTGTAGTGACCCTACTTTCTGTGCCAGCGGTCGCGGATTCGAGTCCCGCTGGGGGACATTATTTGGTGCGACGAGCACGAATGTTTGTACTCAAGTCATGGGTGTTTATACATATTTATAATATGTATGTATTTAAAGTTATATATGTGTAGTGTATCAACTATGTGGTATTCATAACACAAATCTAGTTAGCCTACAACCTAACCTAGTTAGTAACCTAGCTTACCATGGAACTGGATGGTGCCGTGTGTTAATGTCCCAACATATTTAATTAATTTAATTTCAATTTAATATTTCAAGCGATTATTTAATTTAGTTGTTAGCAAGATATGATGCTCTAAAATCGTAACAAAAATTTTATTTAGCTCAAGTTTACCCTTAAAACATAGTTTTTTTGTTGTATATTATTGAAAATAGATCTTGATTCTGATGCTTGTAGGTTCTAAATGCCTTATTAAGGCTTACTAAAGTCTAAAACAGTTAGGGTGCTGAAGCTAGCTGCAAGTCGAATTGACAACGCCGCAAAACTAAGCTAAAACTTGAAGTTAACTACATTTAGTCAGTTTGCGATTTCTTTGAAAGGAGGAGGTTGCTTGTTTTGAAATGTAAACTTTTAATTTTTACGCCTTTTGTTTATGTTTCAAGATTTTTTGATACTGTGAAAATGATCGGAAGTGATTATATTTTAGAACTGTGCAATGTTTTTCATTCGGGTCAAGTAAGTACCAACGTCTTTGTGGCGGTACCTGTTGCATTCAATAAACATTATTGTATGTACAAAACTTTTTTTTTATTGTTATATTTATTATTGTTTATGAAAATAAAGAATTTTTCTTTATGATAATGGTAAAATTAAAACTTTCTAAGCAATACGATATCCATCGGTACTATTTGCACCCGTTGAACTCATTTGTATGGGAAAGGGAAAATTGTGCGACTGCCAATCCTAATAAAACGACAGGCGCTTAGCATCTATCTGATACAAAATATTTGGTTGTTTACAATTTACATTAATTTAATTATTATTTATGCAAACGCTGCATACTACTCAGTATTTACTTATAAGCATTTTAAATTTATTAATATTTCATATTTTTATTAGTGTTGACAGTAACTTTTTTATACCATATAAATCATTAAAAATCACTATAGATAGATGTCCGTATGTTACATGAAACTATTGTGGGAATATGACTGAAATCCATAGTTACTAATATTATAAATGTGAAAGTGTGTTTTTTGGTTTGTGTGTTTGTTTGTCTTTCTTTCACGTCGAAACGGAGTGACGGATCGGCGTGATTTTTGGTGTGAAGATAGTTAGAGGGTTGGAGAGTGCTACTAGGATTTTTTATCTTAAGGCTACTATGATTTTTTATCGCTGGAGACCATCACATTCCCACGGGAAAACACGTTATAATACAATCTACAAATTTATTTCTGATTAGAATTACTTGAAACTTGGTATTATGCTCTTCAATACAAACAAATAAATACGTGTTTTAGCATTTTTCGAAATTCATCCCATAAGGTGGTAAAATAGGGGATGAAAGTAAAAAAGGGTATGAAACCTAAGTACCTACCAATTTTAGAGATTTTTTTGTAGTTTTAGTGCGAGCGAAGCCGCGGGATCTGCTAGTTTTATATAAAGCAGCTCCCTCTCCTCATTTCCCACTATAATTTAGAGTATCGGGTAGAAAATTTTGAGATAATAGATCTTCCAAAATTCTTTTAACGAAAATTGTGTTGAAGAATATACGTTGAGTAGTTTTTAGAGTACATAATAATATCATTATATTCCCTTCCCTTCCTTCCCTTTTACCAATTTATTAAAAAGTTATAAGAATTTTAGGTTTATTATATTAATATAGGTAGAGCCAGGAAGCTTCTTTCAGCGACTCACGGGCGGAGTGAAGACAGGCATAATACTTAAAGATGTCTCCTTCCTCACTCAAAGTGGTGAAGTTACTGCTATACTGGGATCTAAAGGTATTGTTTTATTTATATATTAGCGACTCACAATCGCTTCGCTCGGGTTCGCCCCTGGGTACGTTTTAAAGTAAAATGGATATAGTATGTTAATCTTAAGAGTTAGACATATGCCATCGCGGACTTTTCTGTAGACATATATAAGATACACAATTCCACCATACATTATTTAGATTGATTATATCTCAAATTTTTTTGAGCGTTTTCGTTGAAAGCTCCCAGACGGCTTATTTTTTTCCGACACCTCCAACAAATATCGTTATATTTTAGCCAATGTATACAATGTATACTGTAATATAAATGTAGTGTTTGAGTTTATCTCGAACAGATAGACAGACGCGGCGGAGGACTTTGTTTTATAATATGTAGTGTTGTTTTTGCCTTTTTGTTCACCTTCTACATTTTCTAAAAGTGACATAAACCATTATAATTATCGTACAGTATAGGCAGCATAGGTATAAGCAAGTTAATAATTGTAGTTGTTTTGGCGTAGTAATTGAAAATATATTATTTTTCTTAAAGGTAGTGGAAAACGCGCACTTTTGGACGTCATCAGCCGCCGGGTACCCTGCAAGGGTCATATTCTCCTCGAAGGCGTACCTTTAGAAGAGGATCAATTTAGAAATACTTGTGCGCTTGTGCATCATTCCACAAAATTGCTGCCTGGACTTAGTGTTCAACAGACATTGGCTTTGTCCTTGGCTAAGGTATAATAGATGATCCCTTAAACTTCCTGTTAGGCACGACGCTTTGTTTCGTGTTATTTATTTTACGCAACAATTTTGCTACTAAAACTAAAGCTTATTTAAAGTTGTAAATTAATTTTTAGTTGCGTTTAGAAATTTGACTTATTTTTTAAAGAAAATACCAAATAGCAGCATCTTTTTGTTACAGATTTCAGGATACTTAAAGTCATCGAAAGTGAAACAAGTTATGGCAGATTTGGCTTTGTCACAAGTAAGCACTAAACACTACCTATTTTAAACTAAATCAATTATAAATTCTAATAATATGTAAAATAATTAAGTATAACTTTATCTCTTTTGTCGCAGGTGGCAAATAAATGCGTTACCAGTTTAACGAAAAGCGAATATCGACGATTAGTTATCGGCGTGCAACTCATTCGCGATCCAAGTAATAAAACTATTGTTTGGAATTAGATTTTCCTAATGGCTGTTTTCGGAACTAGAGTGGACAGATTACAGTTTTTTTGCCGTCCACTACTCTACTAAATAGTGATTTTATTGTTAGTTCGTCATACGTTAGTTCTGCGACTTGTCTGTGTGTCTGCGAATTTGATCACCGCCAATAAAATTATATTATTGTTATATGGAATTATACTTAATATATAATTGTACCTATATATAATACTACAATAAATTTCAATCGCAATGGAATTATTTGATTAAATAATAAATATGATATTTATGAATAGCATATTAAAGAAGATAAGAAAGATATTTATATTATATATATATTTTTAATAATTATTTATGAACATAATGTAACAAAAGTTAATATTTTCAGTTATTCTGCTTCTCGATGAACCTACCTGGGACTTAGATCCTTTAAATACATACTTGGTAATTTCCATCCTATCAAACGCTGCCAAGAAATATGGTACAACTATTATACTAACTATGGAGAAACCTAGATCAGGTAAATAAAATAACATTGAATGAAATTTTATAAAAAAAACATTATTTCCAAAATTTATTTAAGTCTAACTCGCTTTTATATTATAATCAAAAATAATTAAAAAATTATTTGAATATTTCAAATTAAATTAAATTGCCTACTTTATAACTCTGTATTATAAAAATGTAAATGGATGACGCCCACGCCAGAAAACGAGGGTAACGCTCTTAAAAAATCATCCTCCTCTATGGAGACTCTTAAATATAACTCATAAATGAAAGAAGTTGAAATAATGTGTACAATATGTGTTGTTATACTCGTATGTAGTTAAAAAAATTCAAGAAAGGCGTACAGAACTCGCTTGTTTTGAATTTGTATATCGTAAACGGACGGGGTTATCTACAATCGGGTGACATCGAGCATGGTTTATCCGATGTACCGGTTCGATTAAAAAAATGTTATTGCATTACACCCCCTGTCCCGACTACATAACTCACTTTAAAATTTATTTATTGAGGAACGCTAACACTCAACATTACGCTACAGACCATGTGACTAACATACTTATTACTTAAATAAATAAAACACTCGATGCCACGAACAAAATTTAGTTCAAAAGAATAAATCCTAATATTTGTTTTGTTCCAGATGTGTTTCCATTCCTCGATCGAGTGGTATATCTGTGCCTAGGGGACGTGGTGTACGCCGGCCCTACAAGGAATCTGTTAGATTATTTCGGCAGCATCGGGTTCCCTTGTCCGCAACTCGAGAATCCTTTGATGTATTATTGTAAGTTATGAAATTATAGAAAACTTAATTTGCTTCTATGTGTGTCTAACTGTCCATTATAATATATAAATTGATATATTATTTATTTCTAAACTTTTACGCGTACCTGCGAGAATAGAGGGCTGCGTATTGAAATGAAGCGAAGGAGGGTTAATAATGTTTATTTAAGAAACAATAATTAAAATGCTCCTATTTATAATGGTAATAAATTCGTTTGAGGCAATAAAATATCCTTTTAATTTGTTACAGTATGTCTATCTACAGTAGACAGACGATCTCGAGAACGTTTTATCGAATCAAATCACCAAATTGCGGCATTAGTAGAAAAATTTAAAGTCGAAGGTCAAGCGATTATGCAGGGAAATATGACAGAGCACAGTCGCATCATAAACCCTAACAAAATGCAGATGAACTATGGAAAACCCGGCGGTGTACGCATTGTATGGATGTTGTTTTTGTAAGTATTATATAGATTTTAGATATGTGGCCTTTTTATTTTTATTTTTTTAATTTTATCACCTGTGAAGTTGATAAAAATCACATAAAACCTTCTGTGTTTTATGTATAGTCAACCCTGTTACACCTCACACTGCGGAGCGCGAGTCTTTTGAAAACTGGCTAAGTTCTTTTAGACATTCAAGCTTCTTCACGGTGTTTTCTTTAACCGTATAAACAAGTGGTAATCATGTTAGAACTGATTTGCACATGAATATACGAGAGTTGCGATACTCGATATTTGAACCTGCTTCACTTTGTTTTTAAGCGAGAACATTACCACTGAGCTACCACTGCTTTTTGTGTGGTTTATACGTACAAGTATCAAAAACATCAAACTAATTGTAAGTTGTTAACGTAGTTTATAACCAAATTATGACTCGTTATGCAAGAAACTTTGTATTGCTCAGAAATTGAAATTTGTATTGCTCAGAAATTGAAATACAATGCAAACATTTAAATTCTGTGGGAAAAATCAAACGCGTGATCTTCGGTGTCGTGGTGAAGAAATCCTACATAAATAAAAGATCTGGGATCCAATTAAGTATAATTATTTTAGACGCAACGAATAAATTATTATTAGTATTTTAGGCGAATGCTGGCATCAATTTTCAATTTAAAGAAACATGGTTTAAAACAAATGTTAATGAGATTATTAACTTTGCCAATATATTGCTTAATATTATGGATTTTCTACAACGAGGCAAAGGTAATCTTTTTTAAAACTTTATATGATCTACCACCTTAATTAATTAAATATTAAAATAATGATTTAAAAAAATTAATGATATTTTTTATTTACATTACTGTCTTTATCATTTAATTTGCCGTTTATAAGTAGGTTTTATATTTCAACATAAATAATTATTATTGACAAACAGAAACACACTTATAGGTGTATGATTTTGCAATATGTAAATAATAGAATAAACCTTTTTATATTGCAGGATTTTCAGCGCGCTTTCGTTACTAAGAGTGGTCTAATATTTAATGCTATGGTCGGAACATACTTCATTAGTATTATGAACACTATTTGTCTTTGTGAGTATTCATCACAGTAAATTAATCCAAAAACATTTAATAACGAATACGAAGACGACGAACGACGAATTTTATTTAAAACTTAAAAGTATGAAAAAAATTACATTGGAGGCTGGGATTTCTAACTAAATTTATTAAACTGAAGATTATATTATTTAAATGTAATAGCTAAATATAATAAAAACTTATTTTTAGATGGTCCCTACAGAACTCGTTACTATCAAGAATCTCAGGAAGGTCTGTACAGTGGGGCAAGTCTATTGCTCGCGTGGAATCTCGTCTCACTGCCGTTTTCGTTTATTGCTACATTTGCATCTGCTGCTATAATATATCCGTAAGTAATTCACAAATAAACTATCAACGAAGTTAATATATTGGTAGATAACAATTGCATGAATATTACATATTATATTATATTAATTCGCTAATTGTTATAGTATTCTCAGCGATATATCAGAAAGTCTGGACTACGTATATTTCTCTCTGATCCTGTGGTCGTGCTATATCTACGCAGAACAACAAACCATTGCCGTCATGATGTTCGTGAAGAACGGCCTTATCGCTGCTATTGTCAACATTTATATCTCCTGCATTTACATTATGTTGGCTGGTGGTGTTCTAAGGTAATTAAATGAACATTTATCGATTATTTTGTCACGTTAGAAATCTTATTTTAGTGTACAATAATACTTACTAACTTTACAGTATAAAAAAATATAACAAATTTACTGTCTGTGAATACTTTGAAGTATAATTTTTTTAGCGTTCGAAGTTAGTTTTGCCATTGGTATTTGCCTGTAGGGTTGTAATCTCAATTTATTATATAAAATAAAATGTATGTCCAACTTAACATATGACACGATTTTACTCTAGCCTGGTTAAAGCTTAATCAATAACATTGATTACTAATCATTGATATATTATATAGTTATCAGTTGCCAAGTTGGTCGATAAACTGTATACTTATTATCATTCTTATCTTAAATGTATATAATATTTAAAAATATACCACATTTTGTTTTACAGATCCTATAAAGGCTATGAAGACTGGCTCCTCTATCTCACTTACCTCACACATACACGATACGCCTCAATTTTCCTACATAGAAACATATTCAAGCAGCCCACATTTAACATCCTTCCATACAGCGAAGACGACAACTGTACATCTATTACAAATCTCATACAAACTTCATCTAACATAAACACTAATTCCAATGCAAACTGTAGGTATCCAAGTGGTAAGGCATTTCTTACTGAGAGGTTCACATCTAAAAATTTTGGCGGTGATATCTATCAGACTGGCGACTTTAATATGGATTTCAACTTAGGTATTTCCTTTGCATTCTCTTTAGGTATTATCGTTTTTAATAAGTTCTTATATCTCATGCCTTTGCCTGGATACATTATTGATAAGTTTAGGGAATGATATTAATTTGAATTTTGATGTCATATTAGTTATTTCGGCAAAATTTTGATTTCCGTGGTGCCGGAATTTTAAGATGAATTCTTAAAAATCTTGAAAAAATAAAACGAAAAAGAAGAATATTTTTTTTCGATATCTCGCTTTTCGATTTCGATACTCAAAAATTGAAAAATGATTACTTTTTACTTTTTTTGACGGTTCTCGGTATATTTTTGAAAAATATAACGAAAAATAATATTTTTTTTCCTTGCCCACATTCAGAACATTATATTTATTTTTAATAGCAGGGGTCTTGGGTTTGAAATAAAAACAGACTTAACGAGAAGGCCTTCTCTATCTACGTTATCCAAGTCGGGCCTGTATTTTTTTCGATTTTGAGTATCGATATCTCAAAAACAAAGCAAGAATTTTATTCTTAATTATCATCTTATTTTTTTAAGATCTATAAGAATTCATCATCAAATTAAGGCGCCACGAAAATTAGGATATGTCCGTTATTTCAAATGGTTATTAAGCAATACTTAATATATTTTATACATATTTTATAATTATTATATACAACATAAATGAAATGATTCTAAAGATAAATTATGAATAATTAAATTTAAAAATATATTTTTTTTATAATAGTCTAATAATTGAAACAAATAACTAGTTGTTTTAACCTTATATTTATTATCGAATTATACTTACATTTTATATAAAACTTCATTGCAACAGACAAAAAAGTTTTTTCTACATTATTTATAAACTTTACCACTTACTCTTATTACAATATAATAAAACTTATGATTTAATTTTCTTTTATTTTTCTTAACAATTTCATTTACCATATTCCATCACAATACTGCAAAACCATGATGGGTACAGGTAGTAATAAAATTATTTTAATTGCACACAAACTGTGTAATTTAACACAGTATAAATTAATGTATCTTTTTACTTAGATGATAATCGTAATAACGATTTTTTTTCATATTATGTCTCAAATTAAGTATATCAAATATTGAGATCATATGCTTATGCAAAAAACATAAACCCCCTTTTACATTTAAGAAATCGTGAAATCTCCAATTACTTTTGGATAACTGTATATGACAGTTTCAGTCTGGGTCTCAGAGTCGTTTTCACTCACACATGAGGTTCCATCACCTAAAAATGAAAATTAGCAATCATAAAACAAAAGCTAAATATAACAGTAAAGTTTAACAAACACTACCTAATAAGAATTGAAGACTAGTTTGAAAGCACTCAATTTTATATGTACATTTTTTAGCCAAACATATCTTTTAAACAACTCTAAAATGTGTATCCTTTAACACAACATATATGTAAAGGTAAGTTAATTATTAAAAAGCAAATACTCACTTCCATATACAACAATTGTTTTATTAAGTTTGTTAATTGTAACCTGCAGACAAAAAATATTGTTTAATTTTCACAACAAAAAATAGTTTGTCAATGTCAATAATTAATAAAAATAATTCATCAACCCATGCAGACTTGACCAACAATGTTTAAATTACCTAGTCACTGTATTTTTATTAATAATTATATAAGAAAAGCTTTATTATATTAAATAACCAATTATATTTATATAATTTTATTTATCATTAAACAAATATTCAGTTTCATGTGATAAAGGGTTTAAAACGTCATTCTAAATATATAAATACATTTTCATTTTTTCTAAATTTTAAACTGGTGCCCCTATTGGTTGGTACATATGCATTATGAATCTTGCAAAAAAAAAAGTTCACTATTATAAAATTATTTTAGAGGAATATAAGCAAATATACTGGATTTTTTTCTCACATAGTCTCCACATTTAATATTAATAAAAAATAAGTCTTTTTCCTTTAATCTAAATCAATTATCTTTATTTTGTGGTGTTTTTTACCATTTACATAATATAGACATGGAGAGAATAGATAGGTAATTATTTGCAATTTTTAGGGGTTTCAATAAAAAAAAAGAAAAAGCAAAAATGTGTAGATTTCTTTTCTTATTCAGTAATTTTTTATCTGATAATTTTTAATATTTATAAATATTAATTACATTTCAGGTAGGTATGCTTCAAACATTTAAAAAAATATTTAAAAAAATTACAAACAATTAAAAACTTAATCTATTCATGCATATTTTATTTCATATGGTTACATGTAATTGATGCAAGTCAACATGGGTTTCTGTTATCCAATTGTAGAGAATTTTAATATGCAATGGTGCATTAAATAAATACATATAGTAAAAGTTATGAACGTGTGACGATGTGTGACTTTGAAATAAGACACCACATTAGACATCCTGATTAATAAAGTTCTGAAAATAACAGAATTATTTTTATAAATATAATTTGGAAAGTTAATGTGTTGTACATCAGTTCATATCATTGAACATTATTATACTTACAGGTGATAAAACAATTTCCCTGTACTTTTTTAGATATACCTTTAAAGGTTCTACATAATTATCGAAGCCAAGTGCATTCATTGCAAACAACACATCTTCACCATTAATAGTTTTTCTCTTTTCCATTTGGCATCGATCACTTGCCTCACTAGTTATAAATGATATAAATTCTGATATGCACTCTTGTACACATTCTCGAGCATCTTTTGCAATCTGTTTAAAATAAATCACAAGGTTTACATAAGATCAATATAACTTGATTCTCATCATAATAGTAAGTTATTTATATAAGTGAGAAGAACTTGCCTTTCCATTTTCTGGAATTGCCCTTTTCATAATCTTAGCTATATTTGCTATTGGTAAAAAACGATCTTGTTCTCTTAAGGGCACATTTTTACCTCCACTATTAGAATCGGAATTGTTTTCTTCTTGTTCTATGCAAGGTAAAAATAATGTTTAATTAATTTCTATATAGAATAAATTATATTAATACCTAATTAAACATGCATAATATTGTAAGCTACCCAATACATCGTCGGTGTTTACAACGTAAGTCTCTTCATCGACGAGAAATCCATTGTCTAACCTAACCAAATTTCCACCGAGTTCATCGCCTTCCATGATGCTAGATTTATAATATTATTTTCAATCACTATAAAATATGCCAATATTTGAGTAATACTACAAAAAATTAAGGCAAATTACATCAAGAAATTACCAGCAAACAACAATAATAATTAATATTTCGTGAAGTCAAGCTAAAACTAATATTTATAATTTATTCATTAATCTTTTAATGTCAGTTGTCAGATAACAGATTTCAAAATTCAATGAAGTTATTTTTATACGCTGTGGTTATTTCTTGTATGTCTTTAGATTTATTAAATTTTCAACCAAAATCATGGCTTATTTAAAAAATACTAAATAATAATTCCGAATTCTGAAATACAAATAATAATATGAGCCTTAAAATTTTTATTTTTGTTAAAGTTCATTGATATAGATCATTTCTAAGTTAATAAGTTAATAATAATAAATTAATTACATTGGTTAAATATTTTCATAAAAAAGTCAATTATATATTAATCATTATAAATCATAAACTTAAATTTGTATTAATAATTTTATAACAAAATTATGATTTTTCGAGAAACGTAATCAACAGACACAAATTTTATGAGATTTAGACTTGAGCTACCTGCCAAGCGTTCTGTGATTCGACAACTGCAATTTGCAAATTGCAATCTGTCATTCTTATCTGTGAAAATAAAAGGTATCTACCTATTATTATTTGTTGCTTGCAAGCAGAGGAAGAAAATATGCCTAAATAATTATGTGGAAGTAAAAGTTACAATTTCAGACAAATTATATACTAGTAGAAATATATAAGCAAAGATTCCTTTAACTACAATTTGGATGATCGATAAATTGAAATTAGGTTATTCGTGTTAGATCTTACTAATCAACAAATTTTCATACGTTTGTTGAGTTATTAAAAGTTATTTATCAAAATGGGAGTACCAAAGTTCTTCAGGTACACCAGTGAAAGGTATCCGTGCCTAAACGAATTAGTAAAGCAATATCAGGTATGTTTACAATTAATCTTTCTACCGCCTAAATAAATATTAAATAATGTCAACGATTACTTTATTAAAATATATTACTTTATTTAAGTATAATACTTAATAACAATCTTTTTTAAATTCTTTGAGTCTATAGTGAATTAAATAACTTGTAATTAGTAATTGTCATACATTATGGATAATTTTTAGATACCTGAATTTGACAACATGTATTTGGATATGAATGGTATTATACACAATTGCTCTCATCCTGATGACTCAAACCCACATTTTCGTATTACTGAAGAAAAGATATTTAAAGATATCTTTCATTATATTAGTATCTTATTCCAAATTATTAAGCCAAAGAAATTATTCTTTATGGCTATTGATGGTGTTGCTCCTAGAGCTAAAATGAACCAACAACGAGGAAGAAGGTAAATTCTTTCTGTATGTATTTGTTAAGCTTAAATATAATATATATACAACTCCTTAAAATATTATTTTTTCTCCACTTTATAGATTTAGATCAGCAAGGGAAGCTGAGCAATTAGAAGAAACAGCAAAATCAAAAGGTATAACTTATTTAATTAAATAAATCAAATATTTTGTTTACTCTGCAATATACAAATAACAAATTATTATTAAACTAATTTGCATGTGGCTCTCATGATCATGATGTGTTATTCATAAAATGGCTGTTAAAGCATGAACAAATCCACTTTGTTATGTTCTATATTAGTGTGATTTTTATTTTTTGCTTACACTTTTTAATACAATTGAATTCTTAATATTGAGTAAATTAAATATATATACCTCCTTTTATATAAAATGTCTTCTTTTTAAACTTTCTTTATTTTTATAGGTGAAGTGTTACCTGCGGAAAAAAGATTTGACAGTAACTGTATTACTCCAGGCACTGTTTTTATGGCTCGTTTGCATGAACAACTTAAATATTTTGTTAAGGAGAAAATGACAAATGACCCACTATGGGCTAAAGTGAAAGTTATATTATCAGGACATGAAGTAAGCATATTTTTATAATATTTCTTTCTACATTTAGCTTTGATTTCTTTATTTGTTTACTTCTGACATCATAATGTCCTGAGATTGATCCCCAAAAGTCCCAAAAATTATTAGGTATTTCTATTGAAAAAATCCTGCATTAAAAAGGGCAGTTTTAATTTTATTAGTTATAGCCAAGAGTTAGGATGTTGGGGTCCAACCACGAAAAGCAAATGATCCCTTGTATGTATTAAAATATAGGAAGCCAATATCATAAGAATTATTTTATTTTTTAATATCTATAATATTTTTCACAATTGTTGTTAACATTTTTAGACTCCGGGAGAAGGTGAACACAAGATAATGGATTATATTCGGTGGGCGAGGTCTCAACCTGACTATGATCCGAATATTCGTCATTGCCTGTATGGTCTTGATGCTGATTTGATTATGCTGGGCATGTGCACTCATGAGCCACATTTTGCTTTACTTCGTGAAGAGGTTTGTTGAATTATTGTAAAGAAATTAATATTTTAAATAACTAATTGTTATAATTATGTATTCAAGATCTTTTTGTTATGGTTAGATAATATTATGTTAAGCTTGGATATGTTGTGTTGAAAATAACAAGTGATAAATTGCTATATTTTTTTTAATTCAAGTTCTATTTATTATGACTGTAGGGTAGATCATATTTTAAAAACACTTGTGAATAACAAATATTTTTAATTCTTTTGATCTATAAATCATATCAATAAAGATAATATGCACTCTTTTTTTTAATGTTACATTATATAATATTAATGAAGTATATTTAAATAATACTAATTTACAGTTTTTTTAATTGATGAAGGATTACTTTCGATGCTTGAAATATCTGTTTGAAAGTGATTAATCTTTTCTAGGTAAAATTTGGTAGGTCAACACAGCGGGCGACAAGTCCTGAAGAAACCAACTTCTACCTTCTCCACTTGTCTCTACTCAGAGAATATTTAGAACAAGAGTTCATATCTATAAAAGATAAATTACCTTTCCCATTTGATATTGAGAAAATTGTTGATGATTGGGTATTAATGGGGTTCCTTGTGGGAAATGATTTTATACCCCACTTACCTAACATGCACATCAACAACGATGCATTACCACTTCTATACAGAACTTATATGACTGTTCTTCCAACTTTGAGTGGTAAGCTTTTTTAATGTTTTGTTATCTGTACAAGTAATATAATGATTAAAGGCTAACGGATCACCCTCATTTTGCTTGGGTTCGTCCCTAAGTACGTTTTAACGGTTAGTATGGAATATATAGGTTATATTATATTGAATATATACATAGGTATAAGGTATAGGTTGTAATATAACGTGTTTCCAATGGGAATGAGATAATCTCCCATGGTAAAAAATGGGTCTATATCAATTGCCAGCTCTCTCTACTCCACATAAAAATCATGCCAATCCATCACTGTGTTTCGACGTGAAAAAAGGACTAACAAACACACTTTCATATTTATAATATTAGTATGGATGTATCTCTCCATGTTGTTATTTTATATCTGTCTATACATTTTTTTATTTAAAATAAAATGTATTATCATATTCAGGATATATAAATGAAGCGGGAGATTTAAATTTGGAAAGGTTTGAAATATTCATGCAAGAATTAGCTAAAATTGATAAAGAAAAATTCCAAGACACATATGCAGATTTGAAGTATTTTGAGGCTAAAACTGGTAGACGGCCAAACGCACTGGAGAGGAAAGAGGTATGACACACTTTCTAATATCACCTGCAGAGAACAACATTGTAACTCTAAGATAAAATAAGAATTTCTTTTATTTCCTATTGTTAATTTTAACATACATGTACTTAAATTTTAAATTCAAAATCACTACAATATTAAGTTGTAATGTAAATGTGTAGAACTGTTAATTATAATCAGTATTTGGAAATGTATTTTAATTTTCGTCTTCGTTTTTATTATTTTTATACATGACATTTTATGTAGAACTGACATAAAATATGTACTAAGTGATTTGAAAAATATCTTTTCATTCAAAATCTGAATTAAATGTGTTTTTTTTAGTACAAGCCAAATAATGATGACACATTTAATGTGAATATTGAAGATATTAAAGCAAACAAGCCCGATGATGAATTGCAAGCATTAATAAATGCCACTCATGAAATGGTAAAATTGAATTATAATTTAATTCCTATTAACTATTTTATTAACTCATCCAGTTTTAAATATATATTATTTACTATGTAATGCATGCAAGTTGTGTTGGCTTTTAAACGGCTATGCATAATTGTGCTGTATTTTAATTATTTAATTTAAATCATTTCTTGTAAAACATGTAATAACCACTAGCAAACCTTATTAAAATAAATAAATAATTAAATCTCAAAAGTCGATTTTGACCAACTTCTATTATTTGACATATCAATTTGAATTCTTTTATTCATTTTGACAAATCCCATACATTACGTTTGTTTATAATATAGTGCTTGTCTTGTGGTCGTCGAAAATCTTCAATAAGTTTGAATATTATTGAGATTTTTCGTTAAATATACTTAGAAAGTTTGTAACCTTCTTAAATAAACAAAAAACTATAAAAAACACGAATCAGACCAAACTTCCGGGGATAGAAATATTTACCTCTGTCTCACAAATCAATCATAAATGACACTATGACAAATATGAGTGAATGAAATAATAAGTTTGCTTATTTAAATAATGTCTATTAATTGTTTACAGTTTATGGAAGATATGGAACATGATGATGAATATGAAGATACAAGTGATGGTAATATTTGAATTGTAAAATTTAATATGTATGTTATTAAAAAAAAATATCAATATTACATATTATTTAATTTTTCAGAGGAAGCAAATATTGAAATGGAGTTTCTTTTACACAAAAAAGACTATTATATGAACAAATTGGATTATTCCAAAGTTACAGAGTGAGTCAAAATATTTCTTAATCTTTGTTGTGAATACACTAATCATTAATAAAATATAGTATAAAACTGTAAATGACTAGAATTTTTTTTTAGAATATATCTTTTCATAAAATTTACTGTAATACTGTAAATTTCTAGAAAAAAAAATTACATTTTAGAAATAAGATTTATGCCCGATTTCACCAACGTCACCTAAGTTTAAGGGATCCCCTAAGCATGGTTAGGGGGCTGTTAGGGGACAGTTTCTGTTTCACCGACAGTTAGGGGTCACCTAAATGTTAAAAGGCCTCCTAAATTTAGGTGCTCGAAATATGGGCTTAAAGACGATTGTAAAACAAAATTTAATTTAGGGGCTAGTTTAGGGGAATTTTAAGCTAGGGATCCAATACGTAGGTGGTATGCTTATGGGTTATTGGTGAAATCGGGCATTAGTGTAATACTGTAAATGACTAGAAAAAAAAGACATTTTAGAATATTTCTTAGTTTTAAAAAAGATATATATTTTCAGTGAAGTGTTACTTGACCAAGCAGAAGGATATGTGAGAGCGATTCAATGGAATCTATTTTATTACTACAAGGGCTGCCCGTCCTGGTGTTGGTACTACCCGCATCATTATGCACCATACATATCAGATATTAAAGGGTTCAAGGATTTGAAAATTGATTTTGAACTGGGAGAGCCTTTTAAACCATTTGAGCAGGTATTATCGTATTACTTGTTTTTTAAATATATAAACGTACGCACATATTATGAGTAAATTGGTGTAGCTATTATATTACTATATTTTCTTAGTAATGAAAGAATTTGCAGAATTGGGTCAGTAGTTCCGGCGATTACGGTGTACATCCTAAACTTACCAGTGTTTGCCCGCGGCTCTACTTGCATGATAATTATAATGTAGCTTTTGTCTTCATTCAAATGCATCACAACCAATGTACCAAACAAACTCACAAACGTATTGTATGACATTAGCAGATAAATATATATTAAATGTGTGTTTCAGCTATTAGCAGTACTCCCGGCGGCCAGTAAGAACTTACTGCCGTCTCCCTTCCACGATCTCATGACGGACGAGGACTCCCCCATTGTGCACTATTACCCGGTGCACTTTGAGACCGACCTCAATGGCAAGAAAAATGACTGGGAGGCAGTCGTTTTGATACCTTTTATTGATGAGGTGAAATTGATTTTATTACGTTATTTAAAAAAGTACTATTATATACACAATCAGTGACAAAAATTTTCTAACCGAATGAGCGCGCGCTTTTTTTTGTGGAAACAACTTTAAGCATTGCATTTAAGGTTCAATTTACATTGTTGTAATTTATTTTAACTATAATAATTACCTAAATACAATTTGGTGATAGGTATTTCATTGAGAAGTGGGGAAAGGGGCTAGGAGGGTCTGACTACACTTTTTGCATTTTATGAGAAAAATTACCATAGTAATGTATATATTTTTTACACCATCAGAAAGTAGAGATTTCAAAGAACAAAAGCCCACCGACTTTTTTAAAAAAGCAGATATTTTGACGGGAGAATTTTCGAATTAGGGTGATTTTTCGATATTAAGTCAAAATAAGGTGGAAAAATAAATATTTTAAATCAAAAAAATTACAGTGTGTTTGAGACATATATAGGTAAGTTTTTACTAAATTTCGTGATTATTTTTTGTAAAAGATAAAAATAAAAAACCAAAAACTTGGTTATTTGAATTTTTCACATAAATTTTTAGGTTATGTGAAAAAAGTGCACATACAAAAGTTGTAGATCTTTTTATTACCTACAACTTTTCCATAGGACTTGTAGTTTTGCTGGAAATCGAGATAAACCGTTTTTTACCCTCAAAAACTCGCCCCCTCTCACTTCCCGACCTCAGATCGCGCATAAATTATTTTTCCTTTCATTTTTGTTATATTCTCTTCCTTTTCCAAGGGGTTTCGTCCTACTATTATTATTTTTTTCATTTTTCACCATTTTCAAAGGCCTGGTCATTTTTTCATTTAATCATTAAGATCAAACAATTAATTTGAATATCCAAAAATAACAACCATTCACACTGATCACGTTTTATACTACCAATATTAGTTTATTTTTTTTTATATTAATGTACGTAGGTAAATCTCCTATCAGCGATGTCGCCCTGCTATCAAAGACTAACCGAAGAGGAATTGAAGCGTAACATGCACGGGCCCATGCTGGTGTATGAATGGACGTCGGAAAATTTAGGTAAATATTATTTATGTGATATCATATAGCTATTGTTCATTATGACGCATTTTGAAAATTTTATTATAACTTTTTTTACAAATAGGTAATATATTTTACTATCTAGCTCGTCTAGTCTAGACTAGTGGATTGCATATACGGCTGCAGATCCAAACGTACTGGGTTCGAGTCTCGGTTCAGACAAAGTACAGATATTGATTTTTTCTGTCAAAAAATTCTCAGTAACAGCTCGGCTGCGTCGAGCCGTCGCTCCTGTGCCTCATCTCTCACCGGTCGTGTCTCGTGTCGTCCCGCCGGAGTATGAGAGTGACAGGAGTAGAGAGAGTACACTCGTGTCTACACGTACACTATGATATCTCCTGTGCATAATACTTTCTAAGATTTACGCAAATATTTGATATTTTAAATAAAACCATCTTTTTGGAATTTTTTTAGCGGACCCATATTGATTTTCGGTCGGATCAAAAATCGAATTAAAATTCCCGAAAAAAAAAAACCGAATATTTTCGGGTTTTATTTAAAAATTTCCTGCGCAGTTGGTTAGTCTTAGTGAGATGAGCTACCTTAACAATGTCGATCGGGATGATATTATAATTTTACAATTATTACAGGTCCAGTCAAAGCTCCACAATACTTCCCAACCATCCCAGAAGGTCATGCAATGGAAAAAGCAGTATGGCGTTCCGAGTTGGATGTTCCGGACGCGCAGTTAAAACGCGGTATGCTGCCCAATGCCGATCGCGATCTACTATACCCGGGATTTCCCACTATGCGACATTTGAAGTATCGGGTGAGTCTACTTTGTTGCTTCTTGTACGGACGTTCTGAAATGGGAAATTGAGTCATTATAGATGCTTTATTTTCGGGCTTTGTTAGTACTACTTACACTTAAAGTCAACTTACAGTTTCAGTTTCAGTCAGTTATTGTCCATTATTTGCCAATTGGTACTGGTTACACTTTTTAAAGGTTGTCATTTTCCATATGGCGAATAATAATTAACCTGCAGTATGAAGCATCAAACACTATTAACATATTATTATTTATTGTAACAATTATGATATTACATAATTCTAAATAACAGTTATTATTAAATTTCTATCACTATATAAGTTAAAATTTGAATTTACTGTATTTCACTAGTGACTTATCCTCGTTTCATTCCTCTACGTCCCTTGGTACCTAACAGTAGCCTTTATAAGTCCACGTCATAATCTATCTACATAATTCGTTGGCTCACTATTACAAGGTTCTATGTGTCATTAGCTACAGTTTTGCAAAAACAAACCACTAGATAGCGGCACTATAACTACAAAATATTCAATTTTACATAGTTCTATGTTGTTTTTTTTACTATAACAAAATAACGAAGTTTTATGTAAAAATGACTACTTCATTAAAATTAACATAGAACCTTGTAATAGTAAGCCAACGAATTATGTAGAAAATTTTAGATACACTCATGTACACACTCACACGCGCGTACACACACACGCGCACACGCACATAATATAATATACGCGTATACAATCTTTCATGACACAAAATCATTCCAAATTTATAATAATAGTCCGATGTATTTCACAGACAAGCATAAAGAAGTGCAAAGTGAAAGTGTTCGACCAACCGTCGCGCAACGAGAATATGATAGTTGAGATCATTCCCACCGAGAGCGTGGACCCGCCGCTGGAGGAGCTGGCGCGGCAGCTGCTGGGCCGCGTCATATGGGTTAGCTGGCCGCACCTCACAAGGGCTAAGTGAGTCAACATTTCTTATTAGATCAGTATAAAAAGTCAGTGGTTTATTGACTAGCTTGTATGGCAGATCGAGAGGTCCTGGGTTCGAGTCGGGGTCAGGTGAATTATAGTTATTGGGTTTTATATGAAGAAATTGTCAGTATCCGGTCGGAGTTGGGAGGTTGGCGGTGTTTAATCTCCTTTGGCTGCAAAGGAAACATACATTACATAACTAAAAACATTGATATTAATAATAAAAAAATCTTTATTGGAACAAATTGAAAAGATACATTATAGATTGTACAAAAAGGCTACACGAGTTAAAAACTGTGTTATAGCCAAGAAAGCCCACCTCCATGAAATTTTTGTATTAATTTAATACTAGTTCCAATAGCTTGTATAAAAGTAGTAGTAGCATAGTAATATTTAGACATAGTTGTACACTTTAAAACATTGATATTTAAATATACGATAATATGCGAGTGTGAGTGTGAATGCGTGTGGATGGGCGTTTGTATGTGTAGGTTGTGTGTGTATGTATGTCTATGTTTATAATTAATTTTATAGTTTATAATGTTAATATTTAATTTTTTCTAGAGTAATCTCTGTGTCAAACGAGAAAATGCGTCTTCATCACATCGACAAGGAAAACAACAATCTGGAAGGTCCGAGTTTCTCCACAGAACTCAATACGGGCAACTTACATAAGCAATGGATATCAGAACGATCTACAATTATAGAACAGTAAATATTATTTTTATACTAACTCTTCTTATTCTATACTTCTGACTGTACTTCTCACTCTTTATAAATTTCCCTATTTTTACTGTTGATATTGAATTCTTTCTTCGAATTTTTTTTTGTTTTTTTGTTTTATATACTGTGTTAATTAGAAACAAAAAAAATATAATTGATTTACAATTGACGTAGAATTCGTGTAAAGTCCACGAAAATTTAACTTCTGATGTTAGTTTCTCCTTTTTTTTAAAAAAAGGTTTAAAAGTTACAGATTTGATTTCCGACTAGAAAAAACAATTTGGTTCACTCGATAAATTCACTGTTAATACCGGGGTCGGGTCTAATAGAAGGCCTCATTGATTTTATATATTATTTATTCTAGGATATTTTAACATTATAATTATGAAGCTCTTATTTGGTTTTTAATATATTATTACAGCAATTCCAACCGTCTTGGTATTGATTTGAATGATGTGAAAGTGATAGTCCATGCTGTTAATATCAAGGGTAAGCCTTTAATTTTTATGTTTTATGATATAGTATTAAATATTAAACGTTATTATTTTAATGTAAATTATTCTTATTATTTAAATTTATTGTTTAAAACTTGTAACACAAACATAATCTATGCATATAATGAAATTTTGAGTCGTATCTGTACATTAATTATTTTATAGAAAATTTTGTTGAAATAGTCATTATTATCGATACAGATGGCGAATCTACAGTTTTTAGAATTTTTGCCTGTCTGTGTTTGTGACCGCATCACGAGAAAATCGCTGAACAGATTTTGACGATGGTAGCTGTTATCCGGGTCAACATATAGGATACTTTTTACTGCGGGAAAATATCTCATCTCTGAGAAATCTATACTAAACTTTAAAACGTAATGCTAGTGTAAAAATATATTCAATTCAATTTCTTTGTTTAATGGCTTCTATGAGTGAAGTGTTGGCACAATTTACTTCGTCAATATCGCGTAGAATAGAGAAGACACGTTATATATAGAAGGACCGGTAAAAAAGAGAAGAAAAACTCTGGATTTGAGTACATTTAGGAATGGAGCGATTCATTGTAAAATTAGAATTACAACAGACAACACAATACATACAGAAACAATAAGAGAACATTAATTTAATAATCATTGTTAATACTAATAATAATAATATAATTACAATTTGATTTTATTACATTTAATATATTATATACACAGAAATCTACATAATGGACTGTTCAGTCTTTGTGTTCACAAACATTAACAAACAATTAACGTTAATGGGATGAGGGACTTTTGAAGGAAGAATATCATAGAGAGTAAAAATATATGCTCTGTAAAATAATGTAGTATATTGAATTTAAATAAATATCTCATCCCACCAGGTTACAAGTATGTGATAGAAGACAACACAAGGATGTCCGTCCGCGAGCAGTGGTGTGCGGTGGCGTGCGGGTACGCGCTGCAGGCGGTGGTGCGCGCCGCGCGCGCGCCCGCGCCGCCACCCGCGCCGCCCGCGCCGCGCGCCGCATACCCGCCCGGCGACACCGTCTTCCTCGTCACCAAGGGGCAGTACTACGGCTGTATGGCCACGGTCAGTGGTGCATGTGCATTGTGCATTGTTCTTTCTTAGATATACGCGAATATTTGACATTTTAAATAAAACTATTTTTTCGGATTTATTTTGATTTTTGGTTCCCGACGTTTCGAATGCTTTACACCAATCGTGGTCGCGGGAGAGTCTAAGGTTTTTGACGAATACATAACTCCTTTCAGACGTCTAATTTTCGTCTGATTTCCAGATTTTTTTCGATTTTGCTTTTTTTTTACTTAAGCCACCCCTAACACCCGCAACAAAAGAAAAAAAGAATTATTCAACTCGGTCCAGCGGTTTTTGAGTTTTAGCAAATTAATAGAGTATGACCTCGTAAAGTATGACTACTGTTATGAGCCTAATGATATATCCAAGCGTAACGAGATTAATTATTTTGTTAGTAGTAAATAATAATAATGATTATAGCTAACTATGAATGTGTCAGGTGGTGAGCGCGGAGGCGATCCGCAGCGGGCGCATCAAGGTGTGCGTGCGCGAGCGCGAGGAGCCCGCGCCGGCCGCGCGCGCCGCCGCCTGCGCCTACCGCGCCGCCAACCACGCCGCCGCCGCCTGCGGTACTCTCCCACTCTAATATCTTACAGATAACTGTATATCCTATGTTGTCATTTATATTGTTTACATTTGTTACTTATAGATGGAGTTCACTGTCAGTTAAATCACACTATTGTTTGATTCATTTTGATTGTATTCAGCCCTTTTTTTTTAACGTCCCACTGCTGGGCACAGGTCTCTCTTCAATACGAGGATCAGGCCATAGTCCACCACGCTGGCCAAATGCGGGTTGGCGGACTTCACATGTCTTTTAAAAACTTGCTAGGTTCTCTCAGACATGCAGGTTTCGGTTTCCTCACGATGTTTTCCTTCACCGTTAAGACAAGGCATAATCATGTTGTAAATGATTCGCACATGAAAATATCGGAGGTGCGACACCCGGGATTTGAACTGGCCTCACTCGATTTCCCAAGCGACTGCCTTTCTTACTTAGAATACCTCACACATAACACACATTACCTTTGCTAGTTTACTCTCATACTTCATAGATAAGTGATAACACACATTAGTTGTGTACAGTCATGCAAAATTAAGATTATTACAATTATTATTATTTCGTGTAAAAACAAACAGTAAACCGTAGACCAAAGCTATAATAGAATAACTCAATATTATAGGTATATCCACCCAAATGCTGTCCCGCATCACGGGCACAGTGCTGGTGGTGACAGGCGAGCGCAACGACCTGCCCACCGAGACACAGAACAAGCTCAATATTGGACTCAACCTGAAGTTTAATAAGAAGGTTTGTTTTATATTGTTGTAATCGATAGTAGATAATGTCCACTGGATCAATTTCGGCCACGGCGGCCAATCTAATTGAAACTAGCGAACTGAGAAGGAGATATTATAGTGTGCGCGCAGATATAACGTGCACTCTCTACTTCTGTCACTCTCATACTCCGGCGGGATGACTTTTCAACACGACCAGTATTATATGCAAAAAAAAGCATATATAGTAGAGATGTGCCGACTACGACTTAGGCCGACTAGCCGACTAGTCGGTTGTAAAGAGGCCGACTAGTCGGCCGACTAGTCGGCCTCTTTACAGCTATAGGGTATATTTTTATTGAATGTATTCTCTCATTGGAAGAATGTCTTAATAATATAATTACACAAAGGCAATTTCATACAACTGCTTCGTTCTAATTAAGAAACTTGTGATTCAAAGTGTACGTGAGACACAAGTGCACTCTCTACTCCGGCCACTTTCATACTCATACACATTCATACTCGCATTCTTTAATTTTTTTTGTTGTAACAGAATCAAGAAGTGTCGGGCTACACCCGTCGCTGCAAGCTCACCAACGCGTGGCTTTATTCGCAACGGTGCATTGACCTGGTGCGGGCGTACGAGAGGCAGTTCCCCGACCTGTTCGACAAGCTGGCGTATTCGTCGAACAATGATGTGTACTTTGAGAGCGACTTGTGGCCGCAGGATGTTGGGTAAAGATCTCTTCTCTTAAAGTTTTACAATATATGTAATACTAGCGACTCGACCTCGCTTCGCTCGGGTTCGTCCCTAGGTACGTTTTAGTGTTAAATACAAATCTTTGATTTTCTCGGCATTTGTGTACTATAATATGCATTTATTATACATATAAACCTTCCTCTTGAAACACTTTATCTATTGCTGAAAACTGCATTAAAATCCGTTAAGTAGTTTAAAAGATCTCTAAGGGAACAGACAGCGGAAGCGACTTCATTTTATACTGTGTAAAGATGTTTGGAGATCTGACTATGGATAAGACATATTGGAAAAATGTTTTTGCTTTAATACAGAACTGTATGTCCGCTATATTGTATTTAGTATTATTTGAGTATATATTGAATTTAGTATCACGTGATATACAACCAACAATACTTGTAATTAACGGAAAGAAGAAGAAGAGAAGCTTCAAGAAGCTTCTAATGATGCCTAGTTTTTTATCAAATTATGATAGTTTATATTAGATATGTAGAAATAGATGCACACTCACATAGTTAACTACTGAAAGGACCATGGAAACTTCATGGTCGGCATTTTTTTTTTGTGTTATATTTTTTTCTTATGACACTTTATATATTCTTTTTATATGCCGTGTGGGTAGTTGTGAACATTATAATATAATACTTATTCTTTGTTTTAACTCTGCATTGTCATTATAACGATTTAAATATAAAGCATATAACTCAAGGGAATTTCATATTATTTTAAATATATTAATAGTTTTTATAATTACTAGCAAAAACAAGCCTCAAGACGTGGTCCAGTGGATCAAAAGCCAGCCTCACTCCACGGCAGTGCGCCGAGAGTGCGGCTCCGAAGCGCTCGAACCTGAGGAGATGAAGGCCTTGTCTTTGAGCTTGGAAAAACAACTTCAAGAGTTGAAGGACAAGGAAAGAAACGTCACCTTGCATGTTAAATGGAATTTGTTGTTCAAGGTTAGTGTTTTTGGTGGAATATATGTTTTGTCAGATAGGTATCTTTGATGAGATGATGGTAATTAACATTTATTTTTAGTAAATGTGTATTTTAGTTTTAATGTTGGTTTTTAAAATTTGTCTCAAAATTTTATAAATGAATTTTTGAAAAAAAAAAAAGAATATAAAAGTTTTTTTTTGTTTAGTTTAAGTGTGCTGTGAATTGAAGTTACTTATGTTTCATTAATATTACTATTTAAATGACATACCAGATAACGAGTAAACGATAAATACCGCCGATAAGGCTAGAGTGAACAGGCATTTTTCTAGGCAAGCGCGCTTCAACCTAGACCTCATCAGTGCTTCCCAGCGCTGATTGTATTCAAGCGCAAGCCTATCTTTCAATAAAAAAAAACTATTTTTCAGATTTTTTCGATGCTCTTTTTTATTATTTTTTTAATAATATTTTCTTAGATTTTTGACATTTTAAATCAAAATAAATCCGCGAAGTAATCCGAAAAGATAGTTTTATTTAATATATTTTGATAATAAAATATATTTTGATTTTTAGTACCCCAACCAAAAATCAAAATGAATGTGCGAAAAAATCCAAAGTTTAGTTCTATTTTAAACCATCTATGAACAATAAATAGTAAACAATGTATCGCGTGTGCGCCAGCCCGAGCTGCAGCTGGGCAACGTGCCGCCGGACAGCGCCGCGGACTTCCGGCTGTACGACCGCGTGGTGTGCGTGGCGCGCTGCGGGGCGCCGCTGGGCGCGCGCGGCACCGTGACGGCCGCGCACCCGCCCGCCGCCGCCGCCGCGCCCGTGCGCCTGTCCGACCGCCTCAACGCGCAGCCCTCCTACCAGGTCATGTTCGACGAGCCCTTCCCCGGCGCCCACGCTGAGGATCACTTCGAGGACGCACGCTTCTACAGGTAGGCTATACTCTGTTTACGGAGTGAACCATGCAAAGCGCTTTCTCTGTCCCACTTTGTTAAGGACGGCAAACTGTCTAGCTCTGCTCACTAACGCTTGTAACTGTTTTGAAATCGTAGGGCTCGTTTATGTTGCTAACTACTTGACTAATTATGACAAGCATAATGCATTCTAATCGCGGCCTAAGCGTCTTATCCGCAACTAATCACTCATTATTGGGTTCATTCGGCGAATACAGTATATACTATTTGTTAAATAAAAAACATGAGAAGTCTATGGATTTTTGGTAGACGTTTAATATACAGTCGTTATAATTTATATTATAAAAATCAATGTGTGCCCAGTGCCCAGCAGTGGGACGTTAAAAAAGAGCTGAATAGAAGTAACAACAACCCCGCAGGATGATCCCGGCCAACATGCTGAACATCTCGTTCGGGCGCAAGCTGCGCGGCGCGGCGGCCGACGCGCAGCCCTTCAGCTACACGCCCACGCTGCTGCGCCGCGACCAGCATCACTCCGCCTTTGCTAGTTATAGGTGGGTTACTGTTTATTTATCTATATATATATTCTTTTCTATCATTATTTTAGATGGAATGTAACACACACTCACAAATAATAATAATAATTTCTTTATTTCCAAAAAGTAATAGAAACAGATATTTGCTTAACAATTAATAAAACTAATTTGGTACATATATCTAAAACATAGCATCTGCTGCTGAACTAGTCAACATAGTTAACATGTTTGCTGCACACCCTAAGGTACTGGGTTCAAATCCCTTATCGAATCAAGTATAGTTATTAGATTTTTCTTTTTTATGGAAAATACTACACATGCCCACTCACATAATATCTTTAGCATTCTAAAAAAAAAATATACGTTTTGAAAATACATGATCAGAATGTCAGAAATTAAACAAAAAAAATGTTTTTTTTTTCAGTCCTCCAAGAGAAATCAAAACACCTCTACTAACAGATAATAGGAATAACACTGCAAATAACAATCTTAAAAATGGCGAACCACAGGTAGATGTTGTTATATATATTTTGTATGTGTACGTGTGTTATTTGACGACACGTTTAGCTCAGTTTGTAGTGACCCTACATGTTGTGTGCGGTCGCGGGTTCGAGTCCCGCTGGTGGCGTTCATTTGTGTGATGAGCACGAATGTTTCTACTCCAGACATGGGTGTTTATGTTTATAATATTATGTATGTATTTAAAGTTATATATGTGTAGTGTATCAACTATCTAGTATCCATAACACAAGCCTCGTAGCTTACCATGGAACTAGATGGTGCTGTGTGTTAACGTCCCAACATATTTATTATTATTATATATATATATATATATATATATATATATATATATACATATATATATATATATATATATATATATATATATATATATATATACATAGGTGTAGAAGTATGAAACCGGAATTTCCTTATAGATGGTACTAGTCATCAGCTTAAGGACCGTAAGACCGCTTCTGCAGCACCATTATCTCCTTCTAACAGCTGACGAAGATTTTCAATACACAACAACCCGAATTCTATACTCCGGTATATTTTTCTATAACCTTGAACATGTCGAGTTTTGTGCCTACGAACTACGATTTGCGGACAGCATTGGTTTTCTGTTATCATTTAAAGAAAACTGCCGCAGAATCGCATCGAATGCTTGTCGAAGCCTTCGGTGAACATGCTCTTGGTAAAACGCAGTGTTTTGAGTGGTTCAAAAAATTCAAAAGTGGTGATTTTGACGTGAGAAACGAAGAGCGTGGAAAACCAACGAAAAAGTTCGCAGACAACGAATTGCAAGCTTTATTGAATGAAGATGATACTCAAACTCAACAAGAACTCGCGGATCAATTGAATGTGACGCAGAAAGCAGTATTTGTTGTTATTCGTTTGAAAGCTATGGGAAAGATTCAGAAAGTAGGAAAATGGGTTCCGCATGAACTGAATGAAAGGCAGCAAGAAAATTGAAAAACCACTTGTGAAATGCTGCTTGACAAATACAAAAGAAAGTCAATTCTCCATCGAATCGTAACAGGTGATGAAAATTGATATATTTCGAGAATCCTAAACGTCATAAATCTTGGGTGAATCCAGGCGAACCATCGACATCCACTGCAAGACCAAATCGCTTTGGAAAGAAGACAATGCTCCTCTGTGTTTGGTGGGATCAGAAGGGTATAATCTATTATGAGCTGTTAAAACCTGGGGAAACCGTTACCACTGATCGCTACCAAAAGCAAATGACCGATTTAAATCGAGCATTACGTGAAAAACGACCGGAATATGAAAAAAGACAACACAATGTCATTTTGCTCCATGACAATGCCCCATCACACACAGTAAAACGGATCAGGGAAACGATATCGAGGCGTTCAGTTGGGAAATCTTACCGCATGCGGCTTATTCTCCAGACTTGGCCCCTTCCGATTATCATCTATTCGTTTCACTGGGATACGCTCTCGCTGAACAACGCTCAATTCGTATGAAAATGTGCAAAAATGGCTCGATAATTGATTCGCTTCAAAAGAAGAACTGTTTTTTTGGTGTGGCATTCATAAATTGCCGGAGAGGTGGGAAAAATGCATACATAGCAATGGAAATTATTTTGAATAAAATATGTCTTATCCTTTTCAAACAACAGTCTTGTAATTTTTACAAAAAAAATCCGGTTTCATACTTCTAGACATAGTATATATATATATATATATATATATATATATATATATATATATATATATATATATATATATATATATATATATATAGATATTATATAATGTTTTTTATGGGATATATGTTTAATAATATTACTTATTTCAGGATAATGCCACAAATCTATTAAGAAGCTTGTTGAAAATTAGTGAAAGTGAAGCAGAAGTGAATAAAGTAAATAATAAGGTATTGATAATGATATAAATATATGTATAACTAACTACCCATCCTATTGATAGTTCATAATAATAAAAATATACATTAAATATATAGTTTTTACATACTTTTTGGTCGTAAAGTTTAAAGTTTAGACGAAATTATTAACTTAATACAAACACTTCCTGACTAAAAAGGTACATTGACTTCAAAATCACATACGATTGGAGATATCTAATATAACGCGTAACATACACACATTGTTTTAAATCGGTCAAAATATAAATCTACGCTACTATTATTAAGACGAAAGATTTGTATGTTTGTAAAAATAAACTCAAAAACTACTAGACCGATTTAGATGAAATTTGATAAGAAGATAGTTTGAGACCCTGGGAAGGACTTAGGATATTTTTTATCCCGGAAATAATCCCTTAAGGGGGTGAAAATGGGGATGAAAGTTTGTATGGAGAATCAACCTAGAGACGAACCCGAGCGAAACGAGTATGAGTCGCTAGTCTATACTAATCTATACTTCTATACTAATATTATAAATGTGAAAATTTGTGAGTATGTGTGGATGTTTGTTACTCTTTCACGCCAGAACGGCTGAACGGATCTGGATGAAATTGGACACAGAGATAAATTGTAGTCCGGAATAACACATAGGCTACATTTTATTCCGGAAAAATATACGGTTCCCGAGGGATAGATTTGTTTCTGTTTCTCTAGAGGTATGCTATATACGATAAATTAATATTTTAGGTGCAAAATCAACCCGATGCCAATTCTAGTTGGCGCGCTAAAAGCGACCAGCCGGTGCTCTCCCCGCCCACTAATAGGTGAGATCAATTGTATTACTACAGGGCCGTTTGGTGATATGTGGCAAATAGGGGGTCGCATCAGACGGCATAAAATAGGGGCGGCATTTGGAGCTACAAAACCCTAGACCCTCATGCTCAACACATGTGGAATGTAATTTGCCAGAATGGTCTAGTGATAAGGAATATGCGTAATATTTTTTTATACAATAGCTATATCGTTATATAATTGTAAAAAAAAATATCCAACTCCAAAAAAACGCAAATTTAGTATATATTTTTTTTAAATATACCGTTACGGATATTTTGAACGCTCGATATTTCGCGTGCTTAGCCTGATATACACAGTTGCAGTATGATATACACAGATAAATGACGACTCAATTTGTTAGCGACAAAATCGCCAATCGCTCTGTTATGATATACTCAGACGTCATATTCGGTCTGACCAATGGCGTGCATTACAACTACTTTGAACTTCCCACCTGTTTTACACACTTTAATAATTATTTTTTTAATCGAAAAGAAATTACATTAAACAATATTAATATAGGCTTAATTCAAAAGCAATAAAGATTATAAAAAAATATATTTCACCTTTATTTAAATCACACGCATATTCCCTATTGACATGATATACCTCTACCATGAACGAATTTATTTTTATAATATACCATGAAACACTTTATTTCATTAAATTAGCTTAATATTTTTTTAATCTTTACAAAATAATATTTATTATATGTTAATGGAATATACACCCGATATTCATTTGTTCATTAACATTATTATAAGTTTTTAGTTTTAAAAAAAGAAAAAAATTGTACTTTAGGCCAAAAACTCCGAGCGAAGCTCGCTAGCAGGTATGATAGTTAGATGAGTAATGTATTAACTGTTTCACGCAGCTTTATGCAACCTTTTTGGAATTTGTTTGCTGGGTAAGAAATAATATTGAATCTCAATTTTAAAATATGTAGCCTATTAAATATAATTTCTAATTTGCCTTTATTACTCAAAAAATGCCTAAAAAGGTTTTGTTTTTTTTTACTTATTTACAATAATAAAAATATTCGCATATACAAATAATAGAACAATATATAGTCGGACGCTATTATTATAAAGGCAAAGAAATAATTGAATAATAAATATTTTCTATGTTTTATGACACAGATCGGCGCAACAAAATTGGCGCAAAGATAACTCCTTTAACCGTCCACAACCTCCCCACAGCAGTGAGTGGACCAACTATGCGTACAAAGTAAGTAAATATATTGATTCTACGAGTTCTTTATCATAGAGATAGTACAATTTTGTTTATATCTAGGTTTAGTCTGTGCGTCGCCTTAGTGCTTATTTGTTCAAACCAATACTTGGTGCATTTTACAATGGAGTTTTTTCATCTATTTTTAAATTAGATATTATACATATTATGTAGATAAAACGAATAAGCACTGAGACCTAATACTTAGATTTATATTTCGAATATTTGACATTTTATATAAAACTGTCTTCTCGGAATTTTTCCGCGAAAAAATCCGAAAAGATAGTTTTATTTAAAAGCACTGAGACTATGATAACTTAACTTTTATTTCAATTTAGGACATAAACTATATTTCAAAAATTCACTTCCAACTTCACTTCAGTGTAAAGAAATAACCAACACATACACATTTCATCACAAACTTTTGAAGCTATAATATTGGTTTTCATTGAATACTTCATGTAGTATGTTTCATACTATTCATTATTTTATTATTTCGTTTGGTATCGAGTTTGTTTTCAATACAGTTCAAATGTTTCGCACATGATTATATAAAAATATAATATCACAAATGATTTGTACGTATGTATGTATTCAGCCCTTTTTTAACGTCCCATATACGGGATCAGGCCATAGTCCACCACGCTGGCAGAGTGTTGGGCGGACTTCACAATTCACATGTCTTTTAAAAGCTTTCAAGGTTTTCTCAGACATGCAGGTTCCCTCATGATGTTTTCCTTCACCGTAAGACAAGTTGTAATCATGTTAGAAATGATTAGTACATGAAAATATCAGGGGTGCGAGACCCGGGATTTGGACCCGTTTCACTCGGTTTCCCAAGCGAGCGCGTTTCCACTGGACCACTGCCTTCCACAAATGACTTATATAGTCATTATTCATCATATTAAGAATTTTTGTATATTCATCAGTTGTGACTATATTTCCATATTTCTTTTTCTTTTAAAGTTTTTATTTTTCTTAATTAATCCCATAATATTTTATTAAAAAACTCGAACTACTATCAATAAGGCATTTAAGCTTTCAATTTTCTATGTCAACAGAATCCACCGCCAATGCCGCCGTTCCCAACGTTCGGACAACCGTTCCAGAGTTCGACCCCTCAGATCCCCTTCCCGCAATTCAACCGCAACCAGTTCGGTTACCATGACAACCGCAACCACGCCCCAACCCAGCACAACCAGAATCAGAATAACCAGAACCAAAACCACTTCCCCAAGCACTTGCCCAATGTTGGACAGGTCTTGTTGGGGCCCACGTGGAATAAAACGGTGAGATTAAATTTATTGATTGTTTGATTTATAGATCGCGTTTTTTTTCTATTAATTTTTTTTAAATATTATTAAAGACAAGAAAGTCAGATATAGTGTAGGGTCGAACACAGTTTAGTATTAAAAACTACAAATGTTCTATTCTCTAAGTCTAATGTATTAAATAAATATATTATGAATTTAGTTTTCTTATACATATATTGTTAAAAAACTAAAATAGAGTAAATCATTTATTTTTTTAATATTGTGTCCAACTGGCACACCAGAAAGCCATAAAACATTTTTTTTTTCTAGGTAACAATACTAAAACATTGTAACCTAATATTATTACGATCTAGCCAAAAAAGCTAATGAGTAATTTAACTTTAACTTAGTTTTATTGAATAATATATCTAAGAATGTGTCTATTGGCACTTTTCTTATAGTCTCTAGTTAAAGGGAACATGATGATGTTTTCACAGAGCAAACAAACAGTGCCGAGTCCCAGTCAGCCGCCCGCCAACAGTGTCCACGCAAGTGCTAGTTCGGATAAATTAAGCAATCCATTTGTTCCATTGCAAGTGCAAACAAGTCAACGGTAAGTGAATTATATTAATACTAGCGGCTTTTTTTGTAAGGAATAATAATTATGTTATAAATAAGTTATTCCTTATAACATCAGCTATCTGCGCCGTTAAAAGTCCCGTCAAAATCAGTCCAGCCGTTTTGGAGTTTAGCCAGAACAAACAGATAGACAGACAGACAAAAATTTCTAAAGTTGTGTTTCTCTTATATGTACCGTATATACTTTCATATGCATTTAGTAAAAAGTTGTTATTTTGATATTACAAACAGACACCACTTTTATTTATCTGTATAGATAACTTTGTGCTGGACCTGTTTCTCCATGTAAATTTCCAAAGTACTGGGAACTTTCGAGCTTGTGAAATCTGATGAGATACTAATAATAATAATAATTCAACATTTTACTTTCTTAAATTTACGCGAATATTTGATATTATAAAATAAAACTATCTTTTCGGATTTTTTTGCGGATTTATTTTGATTTTTAGTTTCCGACGTTTCTAATGCTTTACAGCAATCATAATCGCGGGAGCACGAAGGTCTTTGAGACGTCTAAAACCTTAGTCTATCTTCAGAGTTTTTATTCATATTTATTTTCCTATAGACGAGTACAAAACACGAGTGGTCCATCGTCAAGAAGAGACCTGGAAGGCCTGGCTGCGCCGAAAACGATTCAACCAGTACCACAGCCTCTCAGTCAGCCGGTAAACTTTATATATTTACAAATCATTTACTAAAATTATGTTCTAATTCTTCTACTAAACGACTTCATTGATTCTGATGATATTTTTTTTGTATTGTATTGTCATCAGATTTATTATTAGCTTAAAGGTTATTATTAGCTGTGGCCGGTAAATATTATCGGCGGCGACGGATTAGTAGTTCATGAGATTAGCGCGTTCAAACAAACAAACTCTGTCTATTTATAGTATTAGTATAGATATTCATTATAGACCTTGTACGGTAGCGGAACCACGAACAATAAATAGTTTGCTAAGGTTTATCACAAGGCTAATAGTCCAGTTTTAAGCTGACGCACATATTGTATAAATATCATTTTTTTTTCTAGATATCTCAACAACAAGGAACCTCAAGGCCGCAAAAGAAGAAGAAACCAAGAATAGCAGCAAATCTACCGTTTCAAATCGATTAAATATTATTTACTTTCATATATTACTGCATTTTGTACCAGTCTTGATTTGTTCCATTTATTATATATTAGTTCAAACCGATAAAAAAAATATATAAAGAAAAATAGCTATACACTTTACTTTTACTCACTAAAGCAAAATATACGTTTTTTTTAATACTTAATTCTTTTAATAGCAAACTTATCACTTGGTCGCTATATTTTATATATATAGCGAATAGTGGTAATTATACTGTTTACATCTAGACTTATAACAAAAACCAAGCAAATTCGAAGCTATTCACTCTGAAAAAAAGAAAAGGTGGACGACTTATTATACGAGTAGTGTTAGAATTTACTATTACTAACACATCATGGCCGCTTTGATCATAACCTTGAAGGAAATCTATGAAATCTAACCTAATTTTGTCATTTTCTTAAAGTTTATTTTCATCCCGGTCTTCTATTTCATTAATGGCTGTATGAGTTAATTTAAAGACTGGTACGATGAATGTTACGGAACTAAAAGAGTTCAAATATAAGTCTTATCAAATATATTTATACAATTTGAACGTAGATAGTGAATTTGGATGATAATATTTTACATAGTGAAATCTAGTAATCACTGGTCGAGCTGTGAAATTTTGTACGAAATATCGATATAATCTTTAATAATAATTAATCGATTTTTCCCAAAGTTTCATACATCGATTCTATTTTTTTCTCATATTTCCACATAACATAATATAGAATATATTTGTATATTTTGTAAATATTGAGTGTTGAGCATCAAGTGAATGTACTTTAATCCAAGTTCCTTATAAGTATTTATTTTTATATTTGACGCGTTGTTTTTTAACAATTATTGAATCTAAAGTAAGCATAGATAATAAAAATGATCAAAGAAAATGAAAGATGAAAAGAATAAATGAAAAAAAAATCTGCTTAAAAGTATTTTTGAAACATCAAGGATGATAATTCTATATGATTTCTGAAAAATTATTACTCAAGTGGTTCTTATCATTAAGTAATAATAAATAATAATGCTTAAGTTCTCAAGAGATTGTGCCAAGAGCTTGTTACATTTGTGTTATGTTTTTAAAGAGTTAAACTCAATTCGGTTAAATGTGTCTAAAATATTATTTTTGTCTTGTATTGTTATACTTAAGTCTTTAGTAAGCAAACTAATTACTTTAAAAGAAGTAAATTCTGCAATGGCTTGATATATTAAGACAATTTATACTTTTATAATAGTTTGTTTAACTTTAATTACATTTTGAAAATTTAAGTACATATAACGCGGATGACTCGGCAGTTTCGAGTAAAATTTTATTCATTAGTATAAATTTTTATATTTTGTAAGATTGGAATTAAATAGAAATTCCATATGAAAAGTTCTTTTTTTTTAATATGTAAATCTGTACGACTTTATAAGAACCTTATATATGTGTCTTGTTGATAACAGATATGTATGTAACTTTGTAATAATAATTCTCAAGTTGACTAGAAGTTTATATTTATTATCAGGTAGCTTTACATTTCGATTCTCTTACAAATATATTGTTAAATATTTAAATATTGTCTTCATATAAATACCCTTCATATATAAATATATCTTTGTTCTTAAATAATAACTGTCTACGTCAATAAATATAAATAATTGTATAGAATAGTAATGAAAGAACAGGATACTGTTGAAAATGGCGACAAAATTAAAGTACAGGAAACTTGAAAAAATGGCGGCAAACTGAGCTGTCATTTTCACAGTTCCCCTATTACATACATGTGTACATGTATACATGTGTCCTATTACATACACTGAAATATCTTAGTTGACCCTTGAAATTGGCAAAAATTAGCTCGTTTAATAAAGAAAGATGAGAAAAGTATAAGTTAAAGTACAACTTGATAACAATTAGTTGTAATAAAATAGTAATGTTTTTAACATTATTTAAATTATATATTTTGTACGTGATATGTGTTCCAAATTATTTGTTACATATTGACATGTAAGCTTTTTTAAATAGTGATTATATTTTTGTAGATCTAGTACGTTTTGGGCCAAATTCTGGTTGACTTATAAATATGTTGACAACAAGATAAGTACATACTAATTAAAATTATAATTAGGGAAATTATAAAACTTTGTTTCGTCATAATAACTTATATCTATGATTGCAAATCTAATTGGATACGATCTGATTGTGTATTTTAAAATATTTGGGCCTTACGCTATATATTCCTATAATATATGTCAAATGTCAGTTGAATGAAAATACATCAAACTGTATCGCTCTTAAACGGTTGCTTCATTGCTGTTATATATTTTTATATTTGAAAACGAAATCCGAAATCTATTGCTAAAACAAAAAAAAAGAATTGTCAAATATTTTTGAATTTATCCCATCTCATATACTGAAGAAGTCTATTATGTAGCTGCTTCTACTAATAAAAAGCGAAAATTACAACATAGTCAAACGTCAGCGCAAAAATTACAGCAATTTTTTAAACTAACGTTTGACTATGGCTTATAATTTTTTGGATATTATTTCAAATAAAATCAAATCAAAATAAAGAATATAAATTATTTTATCATATAACTAAGAAGCGTCTTACAAATATAAGACTTGTAACAAAGTTTTCCTTCACATTTTTGTATACAAAAATAGATCACTATTGCGCTAACAGCTTTATATAATAGCAATCTAATTTACAACTGGGCTACGATATACTAAGAATAAGATTTTTCGTTCAAAACAAATATGCTTGTTTTGTAATCTGTGTGATGAGATTTTATAGCTGTATTTTACACAATTATCAAACAACTTGTATGTAAACTATGATATTTCAAACGGTTACTCTTTAATATAAATAGCAATAAAAATAGTACAAGTCTTTTTATTCCTCTGAATTCGGTAGGTACAAGTACAAGACGTTATACTTTTTGTGGGTTTATTGAAGTGTCCTTTATCTACGAGTAGTGGAAATGTAAAAATATGTGTAATGTGTATGTTACATAGAATTGTTGAATTTAATTGTGAACTTATTAATAATAAAGTCAAAATTTGTTTTCTACATATATATAGTAATTGTGCATTATTCTTTGTTTTTATTATTAAATTAGAGCCAACATTCAATTTTAGTGTAGCAGTAAGGCTACATGTTATTGCGATTAGAAGGTAAAGAAATTGGCCACGAATATTAAAAAAAGTTAATTTTCATGGAAAGAAAATCTCCATTAAAAATTTACATTATTTTGTTAAACTTGTTTTACAATTAACATGTTACTTAATAAAGTGAAATTGTCTACTTTTATGTTTTATTTCCAACTTACCTGTTGCTGGTTTTATCGCATATCAGTTTTATACTTTCAATTTTATTATGTCAAATTAGTTATTTAGTATCTGGGCGATCGAGCTTCGCTCGGTGTTTTTGGTCAGAAGTACAGTTTTCTTTAAAAAAAACTAAAAACTTGAATAAATAGAGAATAAACAAAAGTTAAAAGTTTGTATCCGATCGGGATTCGAACCCGGACACCTGTGATTATCATTTTTGTAGACATGGGTAACGCAGCGAAATTCCGTGCGTTTACTCTGTAACTCGGGCGCAGTGTACTGCTCCGCGGGCTCTTTCATTGTTCACTCAGCGAGTGAATCATTAGACCTTGAATAGTGATTATTGATTATTCAATAATATTAAATAGATAATGCTTTAAAAAAATTAGGTACATATAAAATAATGTAATTAAATCTTTGTATGCGTTATGGGTCACTTGGTTGAGCTAGTTTTCATACATTTGTATTTTATGTCAGGTCCTGTCTCTAATTCGTTCATGCCTATAAGTTATCGCAATTTTATAACAAACAAAACGTACGTATAAAATTTGTCTTGACTAAAAAAGACATTATTAGCTCAGTGGTAACGCGCTCGCTTCGGTAATCAAGTGTAGCGTGTTCAAATTCCGGGTCTCGGCCCTCTGCTATTTTTATGTGCGAATCATTTTCAACATGATTATTATTCGCCTTTCGCCTTACAATAAAGGAAAACATAAAATAATATTTGTTTTAGAACGGCAACCACGATATAAGCAGACTGGCCAGGCGCTTATCTTGCCTGGAATCGCAGTCACCTACCAGGTATTAACTTATTCTTTCTTTCTCAACCGTCTTCATCTCCCAATTTAAAAACTACACCAGAGCTTTACGGATCTATATTGACCATATTGATATGGTTATGTCAAATATAATGTTCAAGGGTGAAGAAATCGGTATGACGGATGGATATGTCAGCTGGGAGGACACAAGGGACCCACAAGGCTGCAACACGGATGACCCTATTAACTACTACAAGAAGTCACGTGACCCGAGCCGCACCCCCTACCACTGGGATAACTCCAGCAACGCAGGCTTCTCTGCGACTCAAGGGAAAACGTGGCTACCGGTCGCAGATAATTATAAGAATTTATATTTGGCAGATCAGATCAACACTCCTAAGAGTCATTACCACGTGAGTTAATTTGATTGCATATTTTTGGGTTTCATAGCCAATGGCAAAACGGAACTTTAATTATCCTTTCATGTCCATCTATCATAAATGATGGTGAATGGTGATAGTATCACAAGACTTGCACAAGGCAATTTTTATCGAATTGAATGACTTTACGTCAGGTTTACGGTTTACCCATATAAATACGATCTAAAGAAATGTATCTATTTGGCCTATGTTATCGTGTTCTATGATAGTTCTTCGGTGTTCTGTGGACGGTACTTACTAGTAGGTAAGTTATTTTAACATATTTATTAGGTATCTCATAATATTATGCTAATTGAAATAGTTGACTTTAACAGTTCTATAAAGACGTCGCAGCCATTAGACTCCAGCAGTGCAACATGGGGACTTGGATGTCAGAGCTTTTTCAGAATCTGTTTTAACTGTTTCAAGGTTAGTAGTTAGTATATATTGATAAAATATTGTAGATCGTCTCACAATTACGTTGCATAACTTGTTCTTCTAATATTTTAACAATGTCATAAAAAAATGTTTTTTATTACGTGTTACGTTACACGTATCGTCCGTACCTAATAACATTAAACTACCTTGAATTATAAACAAATTGGCTCTATTATTATAAAGGAATTTTGCAAATATCTGTTGCAAACATTCGTAGGGTAGACATAAGTTTGAGAGTGGACGGAATAGTACCCAAGTACCTACCATCTCCTGCGTAGATGACCTTATGTCTGTGAGTTCGGCAGATGTGACCGAAATCACTCGAGAACAGAATATTAAAAATTTTATAAAAAAAAAAAATTATCTACAGATCGCTCGTGGATTCACCGTGTGTATTGGCTGTTGTGAATTTATCACAGAAAAACCAATCTATTGACTTATCTTCACTACAGTCGTTGCCAGATCCTTTAAAAGTTGTCACAACGGGAGAAAATTGCCTAATTCAAAAAGGGTACGGAATATGGATATATATTCATTTAAATAATAACAGAATTACCTTCCTTACTTATGCCACAGATAACTTTAATACTTTACTAGTAGGTATAGACTACAAATAACCCTATCCTACAAAACGAAATTGGACGAATCTAATAATTAATTAAGCTTTTCTTGGCCTACCTAAATTGACCTTTTACCTAAATAGAGGATAGATGGCGCTTACCCAAAAGCCATCCAAATTATCAATCGTGTGCACCACAGAGTACTCACTGTGTAAATAGCAAGTAAACACTCAACACTAATTACCTAATGCCTGAATTTTAAGGTAAAATTTTGTTGGAAATTTGATTTAAAACCAACATTAAATTTAATAACTGTAAAAATTAGAAAAACAAAATTGTCATCAATAGATTAAGAATTTTGCATAATTTAGTATATTTGTTAATTGATAATTTTGGTTTTAGCACTTCCATTTATTTTTCTTTTATTACAAACATAAATATCGTAATAATAATATATAATCAATTCCAGAACTCTCCTGACTAGGAAGGACATACCTATATCGGGACACTGCAGTATTCTCCTACAAACTACTTCCAGCGACTAATCGCCTCATCAATACAATTGGCAAATATAATTCTAATAAAAATAATAAGTGTAAACATTTCTTTTTAAAAACATTTATTTACAAAAATATATTAACATAATAAAATTACTTTTTTCTTAAAACTAATGTCTTCTAAAAATAAGCTACATTAAACTTTGTATTGCATGCCTAACTGAATAATGAATATATTATCATATTTTCAGTGAACCATACACACTATATTACTTTTGGCAACATTTGCAAAGATATTTATTGATGTCTGTATTTATTCATAAATCCATGTTTAGGAGTTTCTAACATTCTTAAAGAGTTAAATTTCTATTTTAAGAATCCTCATACATTTTGCTTCTCTTAATTAAAAATTAAAAATCCATAGCACCCTCCAAAAAGCACAAACAATCAACTTTGTTGATCACCACATCTAAATCTTTTTTAGCAATGGTTTTTCTTTTGTGTTGAGCTGTATATGCATATGTTTCTTTTGCTATAGTTTCTAAGAACATTTCCTGTAACAATATAATAATATTATTAAATTAAAATAATAGGTACCCATATTGTTACTATAAAACCCATATAGTAACAACAAACGGGATTACATATTGCTAACACATTTGCACAACGAGCATCACCCAATTGGTGGATGTTTGTCAAATCTTATTTCAACACTAAATGGACTGGATCTACTGTATTAATCAAAATAATACTTAAGTTGTTTTCATTGATGTATTTCAAGTAAAATAAATCAGTTCTAATGAGTTCCATTGAAACATTTAAAGTGATGTTTACCAAGGAAAAAAAAATTGATTTACTTTTAAAATAAACTAAAAATGGTTATTTGCTAATATTGAATTATGTATTTTATGATTAAAATGTAACATAACTATAACATGCTACCAATAGATTGAAGCTATTTTGAAAATAATATTGTTTTACAAATTTAATAGTTTAAAAGCTTTTTTATTTATATGGATGTATGGAAAAGGTAACTGTGTATTACTTTGATGTAACAAATTCGAAGTCGTATATATAGTTCATTTTCTCACTTATTATTATCTAAGAATAAAAGAATAAGATTGACAGAACATATAGAATGTTCTTTGATACAATTATCAATAAAGTAGCGCATGACTTTCATTTCGCTCGGATGTGTCTCTAGGTATCTTTTAACAGTTAGCATGGAATAGATAAGACTATATATTATATGATATAGTCTATAGCCTTCCTTACTAAACGGGCTATCTAATGCAAAAAGAATTTTTCAAATCGGATGAGTGGTTCCTGAGCTTAGCGTGTTCAAACAAACTCTTTATACTACTCTTTTTATAATCTATACATATAATAAAATTGTAACTAAGCTGAATCTGTACATTAAATATTTTTTGAAAAATATTATTGAAATAAACATTATCGATACAGAGGCCAAATCTAGTTTTTAGAATTTTTGTCTGTCTGTCTTGTACCGCATCACAGAAAAACCACTGGAGAGATATTGGTGAAATTTGGTATGGTGATAGCTTTTTATCCGGGTCAACTATAGGATACTTTTAACGCGGGAAAATGTCTCATTTCTGAGAAAAAATACAAAAACTGCAATGTAAGAGTATATGTAAAACCTAAGAATTTGGTTTTAGGTCATCTGAACGCGGGCGGAGCCGCGGGTAATGCTAGTATTAGCATAAATAAATACAGTTACGGCACTAACCGTCGCCTTTGTGACCAAAAAAACTGCTTCAGCGTTTACAACAGTAACGTCTGGATCCATTTTCATTATATTTTTTATTCGTGCAATCGGAAGTCTAGTAGACCGTATTACTTCCACTTTATTAGCGTTTTGTGTCTTCTTTTCAGAAGTAGTACATTGTTCTTCAGAATTCGCTTCTTCAGAATCTTTTATTATGCTTAATTCAGAGTCGGTGATTTCGGTTGAACGGTAATCATTTTCTTGATATTGTTCAGTGTCATCTATAATATCAGGTATATCCACCTCTGTTTGATGTTCTTCTTCTGACATTTTATGATTTTAGTTCTTGAAATTTGGATCAATCATCAACAGGTTCTTAGATATAATAAATTTGTAACAAAATAAGAATTACAATTAAAAAAGGCGCGTATTCTTGTCACTTGTCAAATGTGAAATGTCTAAAATGAAAAATCTAAAATAGCAACTGGAAATTGACATAGAGTATGTAACCATTTTTGCAATGTGAAAAATTACTTGAAAGGAGGGCGCTAGAGGTATGATCTATTTACATTCTGTCTTAGTCTAATTCATTACTATATCTTTTTTATACCTGGTTTTTACTTTTTACAAATATGCAATTTCGGTAAATAACAAAAAATTAAATAGCAGTGACAAATATTAAAGCTCACCTTTTTTTTTAAATTAAAAATGGGCTTACTCTACCTACCTTCATTTTAGTTCTTCGAACATCGAAGGCATAGATAAGGTCTATGATCTAGCGAGTTTACCCAGAAGCTTATCACGCACCTTAAATAGTCACCATACTCACCTGGCAGATGTGAAACATCGCGACTATTTTGTATAGAAAATATGTATGATAGGATGTATTTAAAGAGAGTAAATACGACTTAATTAAAAATCAAATATTCAGAATTATGTAAAGAAATAAATATTTATTAAAAAATAGATATTAATACCAAAATTATAAATTAAAATACAAGCTCAACGTGGTAAGATGATGGGAGGAGGGAATCACCGAGCCTAGTGGGAAGAGAGTCCGAGGATTACGAGCGCGTGGCGACGTAGCTACGCGTCGCCACGCCAACAGCCAGTTTAATCCGCCGCATTAGATGTTTCATAACAAAAATGCTTGATAGGATGGTTTTCTTAAAGGAAATAAATATGACATAATCAAAAACAAAATATTCGTTTTTTTAAGTTTATTTAAAAAAGTAGGGTTTAGTGAGTAATACTGGCCATTTTAGCAGATGAATTCCACATAATCACCTGTGTGTATGCAAGTGGTATGCATAAATGCATTTCTCAACTTTAAAAAAAAAAGGGTCTTATCAAGAACAAAGACAAGTTAGTTCAAACGAATGTTAATAGACGGCATTATACTTAGGTATCGATTTATTATTAAAGTTTGTGTCAAGTTAACAAAAGATAATAAATAGATCCGAAAAATATACATTACGGTTTAAAAAAATATTCTAAACTAGCATTGCCTGCGGCTTCGCCCGCATTCAGATGACAAAATTCTTAGGTTTTACATATTAGTATACTCATATATTGCAGTTTTTGAATTTTTTTCTCAGAAATGAGACATTTTTAAGCGGTAAAAAGTATCCTATATGTTGACCCTGATAACCAGCTATCACCATACCAAATTTCATCAAAATCCCTCCAGTGGTTTTTTCTGTGATGCGGAAACAGACAGACAGACGGACAGGCAGACAGACAAAAATTCTTAAAACTATAGATTCGGCCTCTGTATCGATAATAATGTTTATTTCAATAAGATTTTCCATAAAATATTTGATGTACAGATTCGGCTTAGTTACAAAGTTCTATACTGATAAAAGACTTGACTGACCGACTACTGCACAGTACTATATTAAACGACAAGGACAGATGTATCGGTGTAATCGGTATTATATATTATAAGTCCGAATTTTCTACAACGACCTTTTCACGTAGGCTAGTAGTACTAAAGGCTAGATATATTTTGATTATATTTTATTTTGTAGTGTAAAGATTAACTATCATAGGAACATTTCACAAATAAAATAAAGAAGACCAAGTGAATAGTAATAAAATATAATTAATTATCAGTTCGTGTTGAGTATCAAAACAACATTTACATATGCCAAGCTTACTATATACATACTATGTAACAATGAAAATATAATTCGATAAAAGCTACAATTACCTACTCTTACTGTACAAATGATTTTATTATCAAAACAACAATTTAATGACAAAATACTTTTTCATTTTGTAATACAATAATTGTTAGCCTCGAAATAATAGTTCTATAGAAATACAAATATAGAATATAAATTTTATTAAAATTGAAATAGAATGGCATAAAATATTATATAATTGATCTGATTTCAATATGTATTCACGAATCACGAAATAAAAATTAAAATCGGGTACACAGCATGAAAATACACATTATTTCATTTTAGCATGTATTTTTCTTTTCATTAATTTATTTCTTTTTAAACATTAAATATTAAAAAATATTTAAAATCATTTTTTCAACATTACCATCAAAACTACATAATACAATAAACAATTTTAACATTCTTGCTTTCGTCAATCATAAGGCACATACATTACTCATTCTTCCTAACAACTTATTTACCATAAACACATTTATCCTAGGCTTTGGAAATATCGTTCTGCATTGTAAATCGTTCATAGAATGCATTAATTCGATATCCTCTCTTGTAAAAGTTTAAGGTAGCTCTATTTGTGTCATAAGTTTTTATTTTATAATCAGTATATTATATAAAAATTTCTATAGTTTTAATAATAAACACTAATTTAAGCATAATAACTTTTTCCAGAGAGGTCGTTTACTTTGTATAACTGGCAACCCTGCTAAAATGGCGGCATCAAATGCGTCTTTTAACTGTTTCCTTGTTTTTGCCGAGGTTTCCACATACACAGCATTAATTTTTGCTGCTAACGTCCGAGCTTCCATTTCTGTAACAGCATGTTCTCCACGGGCCTGCAAAAAAAAGAGGTTTATTCATCAAACAAAAGTGTAATATTTAATTTTATTTAATAACCCCATCCGTATTATCTGTATAATAAATATTATAAATGTGAAAGTTTGTGAGTATGTATGGAATAACAATTTAGGTATTTCTTCTGTGTAGATTTAGTACAATGTACGCTAGATGGTAGATCTCCCTCAGTATTTTGTTGTATCCATACTACTTGTAGAACTTATTTTAGTAAGATTAATATAAATTAGTAGGTATTTGTGTTATATTTAAACTAGCGGGTCATCCTCGCTTCGCTCGGGTTCATCCCTGGCTACGTTTTAACGGTTAGTATAGAATAAATAGACTACTTTTATTTTACTGCTCCGCTCCGATATATAGCCTGTAGCCTTCCTCAATAAACGGACCATCTAATGCAAAAAGAATTTTTCAGATACATTTTTTTCAACGCGTTCAAACAAATAAACAAACAAACAAACTTTGCCTCTATATAATGTTAGTATAGATTACTGATTAGTTTAAAAATTATGTACAGAAAATATACAAAAACCAGTCAAACCCTGTTATACAATATACAGTTGTGTTATTATAAAATATTTGTGCGTTCCACCCGCATTGTCGACTCGTCATATATTCGTGTCACCTAAGTAGCAGATAAGAGATTTTGGTTCGTTCCATTTCGCAATTAAATGACTGTATAAATGTAGACTTTAAACCAAAATCATATCGTACACATATTTGAACATTTATAATTGTTGTTCAAAAGTAGGAATTATAGGTATTATTTTATTTAACCATTTGGAAAATCTCTTCAGTATTTACTTTCATAATATAAATAACAATCGCATCTCTTTAACATTTGGCATTTAGCGCCTTAATAAAGACCAAGTATCTGCCCTAATAATCTTAGAACAAAGATGTCAATTACCCTTTGTCTTCTTATCAACGGGTCCACGATTTTCACCTATTAAATGATCAAAAAACTCTACTCTAAGAGTACACTTAAATCTGCGTTCATCTATAAGTAATTTTTCGTGTAATTATGAAATTGTGAGTCTTTCGTTGTTAAGTTGAAAAGTTTAAAAAGCACCCAAAAACCATATTAAATTAATTCAAATTCGAAACCGTGATCGGTAAACTTTGTGATTAAGAGAATGGTGTGACTGGCAAAAATCTGATATGAGTTTACGAGAAGATATTTGATCAACTTTCACATCTTTATAGTAGTAATAAAAACAACAAAGTTGCATATTGATAAAATATATAGTATTAGAGAAAATATTGATCGAATTGGGTTGTATAATACATAAAATATTAACGAGGGGGTGGCCCCCTCCTTAAAAATCATTTAATTTCTATCGGTGTTCGCGCGAGGACCCTTTGCCATTCCCAGGTTAAAAAGCAGCTAATGTAGCTTCCGCCCGTAAGTTGAGAGTCTTAAGTCCATTTGGAATAGGATTTCAAGTCGTCCGGAGATTTAACGTCTACAAACAGAGAAATAACGGTTTGGGATTTTCTAACGTACAAATAACTCTATCAGTTTAATGTAAGTAGTTATTTGAAAGACAGATAATTCTATTTATTTGTATATACAAGCTACTCACCCTAGCTTCGCTCGGGCACATCCCTAGATGCCTATGCATTACTCCAAGTCATAAGTAAACAAGCATTCATCACATACAAACTTTATAATAGACGTCCGATAAGATAGTCCTATATAATATGTAGATTGTAGGTATATATAATACGTACCCTTAACGTCTGTATAACTCGTCCATCAAGTGCCAAGTCGCTCTGCGTGCCTACTAGTACTAAGGGCGCGTTCACACTTGCGACGGCACGCGTCCACCTCTCCGCAACCGATCTGAACGTCTCTGGTCGCACTACGGAGAAGCACAGCATCAGCACGTCTGTACCAGGGTAGCATAGCTCGCGGAGTTCAGACATGGAGTCCTGAAATAAACACATGTATTTATTATATAACTTAGATAACACAGATATAAAAGCTTATAATAGGTTGATTCCCCGTACAAACTTTCATCCCCATTTTCACCCCCTTAAGGGATGATTTCTGGGATAAAAATTATCATATATTCTTCCCAGGGTCTCAAACTATCTTCTTACCAAATTTTATCTAAATCGGTTCAGTAGATCCAGAGATTACCCCATACAACGTCACAAACTCACAATTCACAAACTTTACTTCTTTATAATATTAGTATAGATTTACAATCATTCACAGAGGTCAGAGAGGTCAGAGGTTGTAGAAGTAAATAAGATTTATATTCCTAATAATATTCTTTTTGTGTAAAAGTTATATTCCTTAGTACGTAAATATATTTCTTGGTTAAAATGATTTCATAGAGTCAAATAATAGGCGGATTGCAAACGATTTCTTGTAAAAGTTTTGATGAGAAATTGTTTAGAATGGAATAATAAATGCGCCATATGAAAGCAATCGGTAGTTGATGTATTTCGGTAATAATCTTACTAAAAACAGTGGCTAAATATATATTACAATCCGATGATTGCATTACATTCACAGGTTCAAAAAAAATTTAGCGATATGTCCAATATCTAGTGTTAGTTTATTGGTTGCTTTTAGGTGCAAGCCATATTAATAATAATAATAATATAGGAAATTTCTTCGCTTGGGTATTGTACGAGTATTATTTTAATAAATAATAATATGCTAAAACAATAATAATAACAAAATTAAAATTTTATGTTAAAAAGTAAACCACTTGTAATTAAATAAGGAACTGGTGTTCCTACTCCCTAGGACTCTATGCGAGTTTTTGCATCGTCTAATATGTTACAAGAACCGCTTAATGTACCGGTATAAAAAGGAGGCTACGAGTATGTCACTCTCTGTTCCATAAACTATTTCTATGCAAATCACGTTGATGATCGACAGTCGAGTTGTCGCAGAAGGATCTAAATTCTAAACCAACGAACCGTCTCATTTATAATAAGTAATGTTAACTGTTTAATTAATGAAATTAAACTAAAAATTACAAATAATTAAGGGATATCTATGTACTTGTAGGTATTCCTCATATAATTTGATCCATTATGTACAAATGTGTCAAAACATATTTGTGTAGAGTACAATACATTGTAGAGTGTAAACGGTGACTAAACTACCACAGTCTATGGTGAAAGTTGGCCCAAAGAAACCAACAATTGAATCTCCATGTTTAGGTGCCATGATAGATGGATTTTTTTTGCTAAGTAATCTCTACTCACCAAGCATTTAGTTTAGCGCCTTTCGGTCTGTATAAAAATGAAGTAATTAAAATATAAGTACATATATACTGTAAAGATTTGCTTAGTTTTAAATGGACGCTCCATAAAAAGAGAAATATGTAGGTATATCTATAACCATATTTTTATTTTTCATTTTTCTGTCTAAATACGGTAAAGCGTCTAATACTCGAAATGTAATTTACAAATACCAACAAATAGATCATTTTTAAAACATAACATAAATAATATCCCTTTCGAATTATATTATATGCGCAGATATACTCGAATAAAAGATAGGAAACGACAAGGCTCAATGACGGGAAGAGCAAGGTTAGCATGGTAGATATAGATCGGGATGTAGGCAGGATATATTAATCGAAAGTGCAGTCTGACGGGATACAAGTCCTTGAAAAGTTTTTGCGATGTAATACATACATAATATGTCGCAGTGTAACGAAATGTAGCAATTATAAAATTGTTGCGAAATGAAAGAATATTTAATTTATAGATTTACTAGTATTACCCGCGGCTCCGCCCGCGTTCAGATGACCAAAAGCCAAATTCTTAGGTTTTACATATTAGTATAGTATTTTTTCTCAAATATGAGATATTTTCCCGCGGTATAAAGTATCTTATATGTTGACCCGAATGACCAGCTATTATCATACCAAATTTCATCAAAATCTGTCCAGTGGTTTTATCGTGATGCGGTTAATAGACAGACTGACAGACAAAAATTCCAAAAGCTGTAGATTCGGCCTTTGTATCGATAATAATGTTTATTTAAATAAGATTTTCCAAAAAATATCTAATGTACAGATTCGGCTTAGTTACAATTTTATTATATGTATAGATTAATTAAGCATAAATTATTCGTTTTGTTTTTAGGGTTCCGTAATCAAAAGAAAAATAATGTTACCGCTATAATTTCATCATGTCTGCTCTGTTTGATAGGTAAATGTTTGATAGTTAAATAGAAAAAGTCAATACATAGTTGGTAAATTATATGCATCAGTTTAAGATGTAGTTGTTGTGAATGTTATTCTCAGTAGTTTTTGAGAAATAGGACATTATCGGTTATGTTTTTTTTTTAGTTTAGCAGCTGCAAAATTTGCGTTGTAACTTCAATTATAATGATTTGTTTTACCTAATGATAATATTAGATTTCTTATATATCTTTTAATTAAACTTAAGAATCTGATCATTTGAATTAAACATTGTGTAATCATTTAAAACAATTTTAAAGTTTCAACGTTCTAATCTAAATTAAATATGAAGCTCAAGAGTAGAAAACTAAAGAGTATCTTTCTATTCAGTATTCGCCATACTATTTTACACAGTCGGAGGACTATGAAAAATTATAATTTTTAATCTAAATCTAGAAATAATCAAATATCTTTCAAATTACTACAATTAATTTGCACTGACAATCAAATTACTAATAAATAGCGTAGCAAATATCAATTGCATTATATGTAATTACGATTTGAAAGTTTATGTTAACACGGATTTTATCTTTCCTTGAAGTTTAAATAAGTGGTCTTACAGATAATTTCACTAATTTTGTGCGGTGTAATTTCCACTTGCACGTTGCTTATTATATAATACCAGTGGTTTACGACTCACTGTCAAACACTTAACGCGTATGTTTTTATACTTTACTAAGTAAATATTTATAGAGAAAATATCTTTAAGTGGACTAGGGCAATAGTATGTATGGAAAATGTTATGAATACCAACTTTTTTGTCAGTGACATGCAAAAACGTTAATACAATGATATATGTTTTAAAAAAGGGAAAATTAATATAAAAAAATAATTTAACTAATATTAATATCTTAATTGTGAGATGAATAAAAAAAATGATTAGAATTACTTGAAACTTAGTATTAATGCTCTTCAATAAAAATAAATAAATACGTGTTTTAGCATTTTTCGGAATTCATCCTATAAGGGGGTAAAATAGGGGATGAAAGTTTGTATGAAGCCTACCTTTTTAGAGATTTTTTTGTAGTTTTAGCGCGAGCAAAGCCGCGGGTTCTGCTAGTATACATATACGTACGAACGCGTGCGAAACCATGTTAACAGCCACTAAGTAATTAAAGGATGTCGCCAATGAAAGTACACTCATTTTAATTATAAATGAAATACAATTTTGTGCTTATTTAATAAAACTTCAATTTATAGTCAATTCTATTATCCTTAATCACGTTAATATTATAATTAATTTGAAAGTTGGTAATTAAATGAGCCATTGTATGTTTGTTACACTATAAAGGCTCAATGAATTTGAGTGAATTACGGAATGGGGAGAGAGAAGTTATATCTTGGTTAAGAATCATTTGACTAATCATTTAGACTAATTTTTATTGACGTAGACAACGACTTTTAAAAATAAATGGCCTCAATTTAAAAAAATACTTCATTTCTGACAAACATTATTTACTAGGTTAATATCACCAGCTATGGAACTTTCCACATATAAAGGTTACGACAAAAAGCTTAACTACCTACTTGCTTATTCAAGATATAGATATTAATCAAGTGTAACTTAATTAATATGTTAATTAATGACTTATCTCCAATTACTGCTGTCAAGGGAATGTTTTCATGGAATACATCTATACATATAATAAAATTGTAACTAAGCCGAATCTGTACATTAAATATTTTTTTGGAAAATCTTATTGAAATAGACATTATTATCGATACAAAGGCCGAATCTATAGTTTTTAGAATTTTTGTCTGTCTGTCTGCCTGTTACCGCATCACGGAAAAACCACTGGAGGGATTTTGATGAAATTTGTTATGGTTTAGCTGGTTATCCGGGTCAACATATAGGATACTTTTTACCGCGGGAATATATCTCATTTCTGAGAAAAAATATAAAAACTGCAATGTAAGAGTATACTAATATGTAAAACCTAAGGATTTGGTTTTTGGTCACCTGAACGCGGGCGGAGCCGCGGGCAATGCTAGTTTCATATAATATTATGTATCTACACGTTATCAAAGGCAATAAAGCCTGCCTGTTACTATTAAGGGATTAAGTTGTTTCACCTCGCTATTTTAATGTATCCTCTTCCCAACATTAACCTCATTTAGACGTCAAATGTCACCGAGCCCTAATTTTCTTTGTGATCATTAAAATGCCTTTAGGTACATTATATTCTATGAAGCTATATTACATAATGTAATTACCATTATTATTATTAACTGCCTCGGTGGTGTAGTGGCTAGCATGTACGGCTGCACACCCGAAGGGCCTGGCTTCGAGTCCCGAAGTCGAGTCGGGAAAAGTTTAGTTATTGAGTCTTTCTGTATAGTAAGCCTCAGTAATAGTCCGGAGTTGGGAAGTTGGCGGTGTTTCACCCCCGTGCCTCAGAGAGCACATAAAGCCGTCGGTCCTGCGCCTTAACCCTTACTGGTCGTGTCGAGCAGTCGTCCCACCGGAGTTTGAGAGTGACAGGAATAGAGAGTGCACTTGTGTCTGCGCGTACACTTGTGCACTATAATATCTCCTGCGCAGTTGGCTAGTCTCAATGAGATTGGCCGCCGTGGCCGGAATCGGTTAGGAGAACATCATCATCACCATTACTATGTAGTAAGTATAACAGTATGAAATAATATAAATAATAGATTTAATAAAACAATACAAATGAAAATATTTTACTAAATATACAGCGATTAGGATAAAAGGAAATATTCCATTACAAACATAATTTTAAATAAATGTAAAATAAAAACACAAAACAAAACTGTTAAATTTACCTTTTATACGACTTAAGAACATAAAAAATTCTTGTTGCGAAATTGACTTTCTTGCTTTAGTTAAGGCTGTTTCTTTGTTAAACAACGTTTTTAAACTGCCGGTAAAATTATATTTAAGTTTACAACCGCTCTTTTATGGTGAAGCTGTTGTAATAGATTTGCTAATAACTGATTAATGTTGATGTGCCATCGTAGACAGTAGATATAATTTTTTTTTATTTGATTATACTTACTAGTATATTAATACACTATAGTTACTATAGGTAACACTATAGTATAGAAGTATAGTTAACTAATAACTACCTAATAAATTTTAGATCTGTTATCTGTAGATCAAGTTGAAACATAGGTAGATTGTAGTATCTATCGTATGTGTAGAGCTTAAACAGTATTTATTAAGTTTTTTACCATTCTCGTTAATTTTTCATGTTAATTTATAAAGTACTAGCAGAACCCGCGGCTTCGTTCGCGCTATAACTACAAAAAAAAGGTCTACACTTTCATCCCCTATTTTACCCCCTTATAGGAAGAATTTCGAAAAATGCTAAAACACGTATTTATTTTCTTGAAGAGCATAAATACCAAGTTTCTAGTAATTCTCATCATCATTTTTGTTTTGGATTGTATTATAACGTGTTTTCCTGTGAGAATAAGATAATGTCCCGTAGTAAAAAGTAGCCTATGTCACTCTCCAGCCCTCCAACTATATCTACGTAAAAAATCACGACAATTTGTCACTCCGTTTCCACGTGAAAGAAGGACAGACAAACAAACAAACAAACAAACAAACACACTTTCACATTTATAATATTAAGTATAGAAGTATGGTTTATAAGTATTTTACCATAACATAAAAGGCGTGTTAATTTTGATTAATGTACGATATTCTTTTCAAAGTCCTCCGTAATATCGTATACAGCTAGCATAACAGTTTTCAATTTCTACTCTTATCAAGGTCTCACGTTTAGATATTAATCTTTCGTAGAAAACACTCCATTATTTATTTTATTACTTTTCACATTTATTAAATATTTATTTTAAAAAGGAGTGCCCAAAAGCCTTTTATCTATACTTTCTTTCTTTTAAAATAATGATTTTTCTTATCTTGTTAAAAAGACATGAAGCTCAATAAATTCGAAAGTTCTTAAAAAATATATAATGATTAATGACAAAATCTGGATTTCTATAGGCACTTTGGTATCTATATATGTATTATAATTTTGTGATTCATAGAGCCTGTAATATGATCATAGTTTAACATAATTTTAGTAATTAGCAGTTACCACAGACGATATAATACAATTCTAGATTTAAAAAATGCTATCATGAAACCCTACATATAAATTATACCTAGTAAATAAATACAAATAGTATCATAAAATACTATATGCTTTACTTCCCAGATATTTGTTAAGCTAAGTAAAACAAATTTTCAATTAAAATTAAAATGCATTAATCTGAAAATTTCTATTGTATTGTATAAAATATGTTATAGATGTTATAAGGGTTGCCATTTTTCTTGAAAGGTTAAGGTTAAAATACTATTTAGAATGCTAACAAAAAACCGGATATTAATTAAAAGTTATAACAGTCGTATGAAACGTCTTATCTTATATCAAACATTGAAATCTGTACAGTAATCCTTATTTACTAAAGACATTTCAAGCCAGCAAATATCTTAATAAATTTTGAAATTTATCAAGATCGGTAAGGAGTTTGGGTCGTAAAAAAGTAGCAAAGTGACAGACATGGACATCTTATATTTATAAAAAAAAATCGTTTTTCTTATTTTTTACAGGAGATGTTTGCAGGAAATGTAAGCATTAAATTGTATTATTGAATTTATAGTTAGAATGCGATTAGGTATACTTTAAAATTGCCAACCCTAGTGCAGGTAAAGAAACTATGAGAAATACGAAGCTTTGTTATAGAAAGTAGAAAAAAGTAATCGATCGCTTCAATGACAATGATACACGTGCTTTTTCGGTGTGAACGTGGGACCGCCTGGCAGTTGTGAAGCAGGTGATATAACAGCAGTGTGTGATATAGTTTTTTGGTATACGACTTACAATAGGAAAAAAACTGCTGTTCTGTTCAGGAAATAATATAAAATTTATTTGCTAACGCTCAATAGTTGTAGTTATTACTACCGACAGAAGCTTTGATAGTTTCTAAATCGAGTGCCAACAGTAAATCTTTTTTTACTTATACTTGACGACAAAATTAATTAAGTGATATAGAATTGAAAATAAAATCAATGATGACTGCGATACAGTGGGTACTACTCGGCTTATAATATTAGAATCTACTGTATGTACTATGTAAAATTTAATTTCAAATGCTTAATAGTCGTAAAAAGCTTGTATCATATATATATATATATATATATATATATATATATATATATATATATATATACCTATATATCTATACCTATATATCCATTTTGTATATCTCCGATGATCGTAGTCAAACATGTAAAGTAATAATCACCTATGATGGTGATACACTGGAATTGTATAGATACGTTTTGCTAATAGATAGTAATTATAAGTTAGATCCTATATGAGAAAAGAAGATCTGAATAACTCTATCTACATATACATGTAAGTATACTCTTACATTATACCGTCCTTCAAATTAAGGTGCACGGATGTGACCCTACATCTAGTAATATTCATGTTCTTTAAACTCATAAATAATAAACATACACCCAGTTATCTTATACAGATAAATAACCTTACTTATTTGTAAGAAAAATACAATTTTTAAATTTTATCTGTCTGTCTGTTTGTTTCAGCTAATTTCCAAAACGGCTGGACTGATTTTGACCAAACTTTCACTGGCAGGTAGCTGATGTTATAAGGAGTAATTTAGGTCACTTTTATTTTAGAAAGAGATTTAGGGTTCTGCTCAAAAAAATCAAAACGTACCTAGCGACGCGTTGGAATGAAGCGAGGGTAAGTCGCTAGTAAAAATATATAAAGAAATATGCAAAATAAATACTGAAAATGAATAATATCGCTTACCTGACCCGCTGTATCACAGATTTCAACGCAGACCGGCCGATCATCAACATCCACCACAACTGGAACGCAAAAGGAAATATAATATAAATACACGTTAACAATATAGCAATTAAATATTAGAAAGTTAAACCTAAAGCTTCCTACTTACGAAACTGAGATAATATGTTTTATCTATATGTTTATGCTCATAGACATATAGCTATTATATTATTTAAATTTCTTAATAAAATTCCTTGACTGTAAGTAAGTAGGTATATGAAACAGTAAACTTCTCCAAACTCATGTCATGCTCAGGAAAACTATATTTGGATCATCCGTTAGATAAAAATATAACCGAATTAAGCATTCGTCCCGTCTTAAACCATGCATACTCTTTTGAAATGTAGGAAAAAACATAATATATAAAGACCTTATTACTTATTAGGTAACTTTTAGAATTTAGATGTTGTTCACACACCTACTATTTGCAACACAATAGGTAATAACTTGAAAATAATAACTATAGGTGTACCGTGTACAATTAAACAGTACGATGTATATGTACATTGTACAATAGCATTCGAAATGTCAGTACTAACATGGCTTGATAAATATTTAAAGTAATTGAATATCGCAATATTTTTGATTTAACAAGATGATTTTATTTTCATTGTTCAAAATGGTAATAAATGTATTTACAAATATACTACATAGCTATAATAGGGCAATATATTGATTGATTACATTGTAGTATAAATTAAATAATCTTATACATTCGTTAATTCATTTATCTAAGTCAACAGCGACAAAATAACATTATGACACAAAATAGTCCATAGTACCCGCCCTATTTAGCTGAAACCTCACGAAAAGCTTCGTTTTTACGGGACGCCCAACTTTTCTCTGTACGAAAATTTTCGGTAGTAGACAGTGGTAGATAAAATTGTTGATCGATAAGAAACTTTTCGTTGCGCATTCTAATAATAAATACAATTTAAACAATTTTAAATTGTATTTATTATTAAAATGCGCATAATTTTATAGACACATCATCCTAGAACTAACTAAAATGGCTTCTACATAATATATCCTACGCTCGGATACTGTCTACTCATTAAAATGTACTTGTTGTAGACTAAAACTATAAAGAATAATTATTTATTTTATTATTTTGACTATTTTATAATATAAACATATTTAAAAAAAAAAACAAAATTGTACGTAACCGTAATCGTACCTTTTCATTTCACGATATCATAAAAAAGCAGAATAAATATGATAATTAGAATATTATCAGGTCCATCGATTGAGCCTAAAACCAACGACCGATAAACAGATTATAATTTATTTTGTATTGTTTACCTGAAAATTCTTACAATTTTAATCGTAACGCAATGAACACGATGATCGGCTCAGCTCCCGTACCACAGAGTCATTTCATCCGTGAACATAACTGTAGCAGTGTAATGCTCGTTCAATTATTAATTATCATTGCTTTCGTGACTAACGTAATTAGGAATTAATTAACGGTAAACAATTATTATAATCGACACCGCAACGGAAGATTTGTTTTTTTGCAAATGTTTTCTAAATTGGCGATTTTTTTTCTCACGTAAAAATTATTAATAAAATGATTGACTATGCTATGGACATACTGGTAATTTATTACATACTAGCGACTCAGTCTCGCTTTGCTCGGGTTCGGCCCTAGGTGATTGTTTAAATTGACATAACTTTTTTATTTACGAACCGATTAAAATAAAACAAATACTAAATTATAAGTAAAGCTTATCACAATACATTAGTGAAAACCGCAACCAAATCGGTTAAGCAGTTTCTGAGATCTGATCCGTTTAGCATAGTATTACTATTCATATTTCGCCATAGATCCTGTGGTTAACTTCGACATAATATTTATATACCTATATTATTTTGATTTGTATAATTAACTAATGCAATATAGTTTTATAACTACATACTATGTATAAGGTGTTTCAAATAGAAAATATATTTTTTTCTGTTCTGTAGTCAGATTGTTAAACAGACCCTAAAAACTATAATAAAATTGAAACTACTTACCACACCTTAAGAAACCTTTCATCGTAACGTATGTAGGTAACTAAATAATGTTAAATTGAATTTTTGAGGTGAGGTTTTTCTTTGAACGTAATTTTATACAGGAGTTTTTGCGAGTAAGGTAACCAGGATATGAATGAAATAGAACGATTTCACATGTTACTATTTTATTTAAGTATGTGCACTGTAGAATTGTAGATTATAATTAAAAAAAAACATTTGAAGTGTGAACTGTGTAACAATTCATAGAATTGTTTTAAAGGTAATATGTGTAGAGTGGAAGTAAGTACTCTATTATCTGCGGTAATATCAAAGAAAATATATTTGATATAATATATATTTCTCATTTATTTTTCTAGATTTATGTTAAAACTAGCGACTCATCCTTGCTCCGCTCGGGTTCGTCCCTAGTTACGTTTTAACGTTTAGTAAAGATTTCTCATAGATGAGATATTTTCCCGCAGTAAAAGGCATCTTATATTTTGACCCGGATAACCAGCTATCGTCATACCAAATACATCAAAATCCCTATAGTGATTTTTCCGTGATGCGGTCACAGACAGACAGACAGACAGACAAAAAATTTTAAACTATTGCTGCGGCCTCTGTATCGATAATAATGTCTAATTCAATAAGATTTTCGAAAAAAATATTTAATATATCTACAGATTCAACTCAGTTAGAATTTTATTATACGAGTATGTATAGATTATTTTAATAGCAATAAGCTTGTATCAAGATAGATAGATTAAATCCACATAAGTTATATTCGATATGTATAACTAACATCTATACATATAATAAAATTGTAACTAAGCCGAATCTGTAGGTACATAAATATTTTTTGAAAATTTTTATTGAAATAAACATTATTATCGATACAGAGGCCGAATCTATAGTTTTTAGAATTTTGTCTGTCTGTCTGTCTGTTACCGCATCACAGAAAAACCACTGGAGGGATTTTGATGAAATTTGGTATGGTGATAGCTTGTTAAAAATAAAATAAAAAGACAATGAACGTCAAAAAACAAATAAATGTAGGCATATATATGTAATATATTTTGTTGTAGCATTCACATAAAAATCGTCATTAAGTTATTATGCATTAAAAAACATTACGTTTTCTAAATTATGGTAACCCTACATGTTTTGCTCTGTTTCCGCCAATATGTACTTTTTATACTTAGAGGTTGTTTTATCATGTTACTCGTCCATTGCCCGCTGGTTAGAGTATTAGTATAAAAATTCAAAGTTACCACGATATGTATTGTATTTAAATAATATGTTACGTGTGTAATGTAATAGTTGGTCCGGATGCAGGTAGCGGGTGAAACGAGCATCCTGCTTTTTGTTTATAAACTTGTTTGCAATTTAACAAGCCTTGCTGTGGACGCATATTTTCCGCCATTTATTTTTTAAAAGATTATGTTACTTATTATTACATAAAATTATGATGAGTCGTAATTGTGTAAGTATCTGTTAATAAGAAATAGCTAAATAGAAGGAGGAACAGCTTGTGATTCGAGGGTCGTAAGTTATCTACTCTCACACCAAAGTGTGTCAACAACTTTCTGCATTGTAAAACGTGACTCTTAAAGAAGAGTCCAATAAATATGTCTAACATTTAATATGACAATACTATTATTAATTTATCAAAGTAAAGAAAAAAATTATATCAATTTGAATATTTTAATTACATGGATGGTACCTTATTTCCACCATAATGGCATTCAATGTCAGTTGACACTTGACAGTAATAGTAAGTAGCGTTATCTGTCGCGTAAAAGATTACTTTGTGCTGCAAAGAATGTTTGTTTGTACACTGTACGGGCAATGTCACGATAGTGTTGTTTATTAACTGTTCACCTTTTTTTATAAACTTTATGATTTTAACTAATTTATAAATATCTCTCGAAAAATCTAGATTTTTATTAAAATATTAAGTACATTCACAGTTTTAAATATTTTAGGTAATAACTATAGTAATACACTTTCGCACGACTTGTATTTTTTTTTTTACTTTCTTACAATATATTTAAATTGCGCATATAAATCTGAACAAACTGCTTAATCGTGATATACATAAATAATGTTACATAATGTGACCTTTTCAAATATTCGTATGATAAATTTAAATCGATTTTATAACTTACGTTGTAAAAATTTATCACGAAGCTTTTTACTTTCTCTTCTAGACCTCCTTAAATTGAATTGTATAAATAGCAGATAAACACTAAAATTAAATTGAATTGGTGGAGTTAAGTGTATTTACAAAGCAGATATTACATTTCAAAGTAAAGACCGGATATCACGACTTTGATTCCCGGAAACGGTAAAATCTTGAATTGGCCCTATATTTAACGATCGTTAGAATTAAAATTTTCAAAAGATTGCACAATGCACAATGTCTTTAAATATCATATATTAAACGTAAAAATTAATCAGGTCAAGCAATTGCCATTATAATATAATTATAGTTATAACTGTGGTTTTTCTCATAGTAGGTACATATAATATTTTTTAAAAGGAATTAAATGCCAAGGTTAAAAATTTCGTTATAATTTCAGCTATTCAAGGCTATTGTACGTAATTTTAATGTTATTTAAATTTACCAAAGATAAATAGATAATAAGCAGCTTTTATATAATAGCAGATTTAACTTATTAAGAAAATTAAGTTTTAATAAAAACAATTACTTATAAAAAAATGATTAAGAAAGGTTTTTACAGGATTCTTAATATAGATCTCTTGTATTTTTACAATATACAAGTACAATGATAAAATCTTTAATAAAATATAAATCTACAACAACAAATAACATTCTTCAGTCACGCCCACATCACACTATACTTTTTGCACATGTTCCCTTAAAATATATTCTCGACGCATTGCAATTTTTACAAGCAATGAATAATTTTGTACCTGGAGCGCTGGTCCTGTGGAGGCGACGGGAGAATGACCTTACAGTATCTCAGACAAAGTAATAAAGTTCATGCCAGTCAAA